CAATTTTCACCTATTGAAATCTATTTCATGTAGTCTTGTTGAAACAATAAATAATTCCAATTAAGTGGTAATGAAGCGTCATATGATTTGTTCAGTCTGTTTGTTAATCATTTCATCCTTTGGAAACCCTCTTCCTATTTTGAGCAAACGAAATCAATAAATTTTAATTATAGCGACATGCTATCTATAGTTGCTAAAAAAACTATCAAAACTTTCACTTTTTAATGGGCCAAAATAGCAAATTTTCTACACATATTTTAAATTTCACATAACTTTGTGATGTCGCATTAACAAATTTTGTATACAGCTTAGTGTGGATATTTTCAATGATATTTGAAATTCAATTTAGTGAACCAGCTCCTAACTTTCTTCAAATAGGCCATAGATTTAACACTTGAATTTTGACGTCTCTTGTTACTCTTCTGTTTCTTTTCCTTTGACTTTTAACCACCCACACTTTTATACTATCGCATTTTTATCGACAGCTTCTTTTTTTTACGAAAGGGGGATCATATTTTTTAGTATGAGCGTTTAATAACAATTAAGATATCGCTTGATACATTAATGGTCTAGTTTTATCTCTTATATGTGCCTATATTATTATTCCACTTTCTTTTAATAAAGTAAATAACATAAAATAAATAAAATAAATCAGTGATTGAATGAAATAAACATGTCTTATTGCTTTTACTATCATAATAATAATACAGCGAAACAAAATACCTCTAAAAAGAACAAAAATTTGTGGTAATTCATCACGAGTTTAGTCACTCTTTCTCTCAATGTAAAATCTCAGAAGATAAATAATAGCACAGACTTTTTTAGATCGATGCATATTTCTGTTGAAAATACAGTAAGAAAAATATAAGGTGAATAACTGAATTTTGAAATTACGAATAAAGTAAGAAATGTAGGGCATACAATTACTACATGATTCCGATGAGGAACCTTAGATCACCGTGGAAAGATATTTCTTTGATTTATTCGTCAATTATCTGTTAACATTATTTCTTGTACTTTCCCGTAATATACATATGTCAAACCTATTCCAAGATCACGCAATCTATATCATTACAAAGTGTATAAAATGGAAGAGAATTTCGACGATTAGTCCCATTTATCACTTCATGCAGGCAAAACAGGAATCCAAGGAACAATAATAAAATTTATAACAAATAACTTGACTTCTACATTAAATATCATCAATTGAACAAGTATTAATAAAGGAATAGGTTAGTTTAAAGAATATCCTAATATTGCTAATCAAATATATTCTTGATATTTGCTGTCTTGTTGGCATAGTAAATTTCTGTGCTTATCACTAAATTTTCACATTGTGGATATAAGTAATTAAAGCATTGAGAAAATAGTATGATAAAATAATTATTAATTCATTATAATAAAAATGCCTGTTTTATTAAATAATATCGTTGGACTGAATTATGAGTATTCGCAAATGTGTACACGGTTGTATAAATTAATAATGCTGCTGAAGTTTTTATAACATAAATGACATCATATTTGCGTAGTATTTGTTTATTTATTTTTGCTATTGTGATTTGTGAAACATTGCTGATCAAAAGTTAATGGTCGCACAGAATAATCCAATTTAGGCAAATTGATTGGAGTTGGATTATTCTATAAATAGCTTTCGTATATTTCTTTTGTTTCGAATGTTTCATACTTTGAAAATATATTTTTTGAAAATACCTTTAGAAGTTTCATGGTGTAAAAACAAAAAAATTTTTTTAAGCCATTTTCATTTTTTCTTTTGAACATAGAATGTCCGAACTCAATAAAGATATTCTTTACTTAATATTTGAAGAATTACAAGAAGATTCAAAATCTCTCTTTCCGTGTCTAATGATAAATAGACTTTGGTGTGAAACCGTGATTCCAATTTTATGGAGGAATCCTTGGTGCTACAAGGGTATTAATTATAGTAATAAAATCTCATTATTCATCATTATTTCTTGCTATTTATTTGATGATATCAAAGAGTTCGTAACAAATCAAAAAATTCAATTACCTTCGGGTTTAAACCAATCACTCTTATTTGATTATTTTTCTTACTGTAGAAGTATCAATATAGACACTATAAATATTATAATTTCTATTGGAACATCTTTAGCTTATAACCAATTTTTTATACAACAAAAATTTTATAATCTCCTTATGAAAAAATGTCCAGAATTGAAGTATTTTGATATGAGGACAATTAAACACCAAATATTTTATTTTCCGGAAGCTAAGGTTCGTCTTGAATCACTTTGTGAATTAGAATGTGATACATCTATTGATTCTTCATATTTTTATGGGTTATCGCAATACTGTCAATATATACAGAGACTCATCATTGTTAATATGAGCCCAAAACCTAATCATGGAATTGCTAAGTTAATTGAAGTTCAAAAGAATTTAAAGCATTTTGAATGGAAGGATGATCATTATGATGATTTTCTTACAGAAGATCCTTATGAGAAGATTTTTCTTGCGCTAGAAAAAAAGGCAGATAGCCTTAATCGTTTAAAAATATATTTCCAATATATGAATGGCACATTACTTCAAGAGATACTTCCAAAATTCTATAAACTAAAAATATTGGTAATTGATGACTTTCTTTTTTTTACTGAAGAACAATTAGAGCAATTGAGAATAATGGTTTACCATGAACTTGAGGTGGTTAATATAAATTTTAATCAATTAAATGTAATTTCTAATATAATTGAAAATAGTGGGAGATACCTCAAAAAAATTTTATTAAGACCCTATGAAATTGTTGATCTTGGATTTGATGACTTTGACTTTAATGAGAATTCTCTCAATTTTATTTGCAAAGTCTATGAAAATTGTCCTTCTATTGAGCATTTATCAATTGTATTTCCACCATTAAAGAGGCATTTCACTGAGTTTGAAAAATTGTTAAAAATTTGTCAAAATTTAAAATCATTATTAATAGTTTTATCAAATACTGTAGATAACGAAACTCATGAAAATTTTTTAAAAAATGGGGAAGAATTATTAAAAGTATTAATTAATTCAGGACCAATTAATTTAAAAGAAATTAGATTTGGTAATGGATTCCGATTTTCTTTAGGAAACTGGGAAGAATTCTTAGAGAAATGGAGAATTAGACGTGCGCTTTCTATATTTACTGTTGATCGTATATATATGAGAGAGGATTATACAAAACTGATCAATAAATATAAAGGTGATGGAGTAATCAGAAGTTTTGAATATTTACGTCATGTAGATTTAGATAATTATTGTATTAATGACTTGTAAGTCATAATGTTAACATTTAATTTATGGTATTCTTTGTAAAAGATTGTAGTCTATGTATATTATGATAATGTATAATTTAGCTATTATCTGTTATATCGAAATAATATGGAGTTTCATGGATATTATATCTGATTAGTTAGGTTGATGTGTGGCAACTTAGTCGCCACTAATAAATGCAATTGAATTAACACTTATTTTAAATTTAATTTATATTTTAAATAAAATTACTTTGTTTGCATTACATAATTTGGTTTTTGTATTCCAATACAATGTACAGTGGCGAATTAAACTTCAATATATTTTTAGTTAATATATTCTAATATCCATTCCAGAAAACTAATCTTTGAAAAAGAATTTAGTTTTTTATAACTTTATCTTATTATAAGTAATCTGAAAAATACTTTAAATTTGACATTAAAATTCTTTTAATGGATATTCCCTTGATATTTGTTGTCAGAAAATTGCTAGAACAATATATTAATTTGAAATCACAAATTTTGGTTCTTTATTTCTTGATTATTACCAAAAAATATTTGAAATAACATGATTAAAGTTAAATATCAATTATATTCCTACCGATTTTTCAAATAAATGTTTATAATAAAATGACTTATTAATAGTTGTATGTTTAAAAATTTTTTAAAGAAAAAATTTGATAAGTAAAATATAAATATAATAATAAAAAGCAAGTGGTTATATGATTAAATTTATATTCTAAGTTGTGGCTGTAGAATTAAAGTTCTACTACTTCATCATATAACAAATTTTTTTTCGAAATTGCAGATTAGTAGAACTTGCAGATTATGTTGTTGACATATTTAATAAGCTGTGTTGCAAATTACGAACCATCGTAGCAGAATACAATCTGGTCATTTTATATTCTCAATCCTAATAGAACCTTGAAATTAGAATAGTTTAATTAAAAAATACTCACTGAGAGCAGTAAATTTATTAGGAAATAAATTACGCCTAAACATAAATTAAACCCATGCTATTACTTCATCCAACCATCAGACGTACTCAGAGAGTTAAATAGTATAATTAGTTATCAAAAAAAGATAAAATAAAAAATCAAACAAAATATCACTTACTGATTTGTCACAGTACAACCATTTTATCTGAAAGCTTCCAATCGGTGTAAAAAAAAAAAAAAAAAAAAAAAAAAAAAAATATTGCCGTCTGATTACCAATTTACCAATTACGGCACAATTTTACTTTTTTCGCAATTTAAATCAATACAGATGAAAAAATTTATTATATTAAAGTTACTATTGTCGTATTCATTCGTTACACTTCGGACTAATCAGGTAATTAACGTCAAATATGGATATGTTGCGAACAAGAACGAGTTGGGGAAATGATCAATATCTGATCAAATGTTAGATTTACCTAAAAAATTAAAAAATTTAAAACTAATTTACATACTACCAGAATTTCTCAACCCGAAGCCTTTATTTCAGACCTAAAATATTCAACCTAAAAAGGTACCGAACGATCCTAACCTAAGAAAAAGATTTCCTCTAAAAATTAAATCCCCGCACGATAATAATAACCACTAAAAAAATTATCAGTTGTACAATATTTAATGGTAGATCCCATTACACAAATACTGTATATTATTTTTAACGTAACTTTTTGAGTGGTGGACTGGCAAATACTGAATAACGCTGTATGTTTTATTAATTAAATTTATACATAAATAATTGTAACAATCTTTAATAATTATTTATTAACTCATTTATTTTGTCTTGAGCATCTTGATCTCCCTGTTCAGCAGATTTTTTATACCAATAAATTGCTTGGTCAATATCTTTTTCAATCCCTTTTCCATTTTCATACATATAAGCGAGGTTATATTGAGCTGAATTATCTCCCATATCTGCAGCATTTTGAAATATTTCAAATGCCTTTTGGTTATCAACACTTGTCCCAAGTCCATTTAAATAACAACACCCTAAATTACAAATTCCAAGTACATTTCCTAAATTTGCTGCCTTTTGATATAGTTCAAATGCCTTTTTCCCATCAACACTGGTTCCAAATCCTTTTTCGTAACAATAGCCTAAACCAGCCATTCCAAGTGCAAATCCCTTACTTGCTACTTTTTGACATGACTCAAATGCCATTTGTTTATCAACGCTTATTCCAATTCCATTTAAGTAACAATACCCTAAATTATATATTCCTCGTGAATTTCCTAAATTTGCTGCTTCTTGAAATAATTCAAATGCCTTCTGTTTATTAATACTGGTTCCAATTCCTTCACCATAACAGTACCCTAAACAAATTATTCCATAAACATTTCCTAAAATTGCTGCATTTAGATATAATCCAAATGCCTTTTGTTCATCTACACAAATTACAATTCCAAAATGATTAAGAACTCCAAGTAAAACAATAGAATCCGAATTATCCTGATTATTTAATAACCAATTGTAAAATTCTTGTGAAGTTATATTATGATTTTTAAGATAATTAATAATTTCATATTTTCCTCTATTTGTTTCTATATTTTCAAGAAGGATAGTTAATTCATTAACCACCATGCTAAAGTTATCTATAATTAGACTTGACGAAATTGAAGGCTCTTTTTCTTTTATATTTATCTTACTAAAATTTTGAATAATTTGGGACATTTTTTCATGCAATAAATTATTATTATTTTCAGATATTGTAATACTTGATAATTGGATATCCCCAAAATTATTTTGCTGAAAATCTGAAATAATTTCATTTAATTTAATAATAATTTGATTGGCAGTTGGACGTTTATCTGGGTCATTATTCCAACATTCTGAATAAAAAAATGATAAACTTAATTAATTAATAATTATATATCATTATTAAAATTTAATTATACATACCAGTGTAAATTTTTACATAGCCTTCGGGTGTATTAGGAATGGGGTTCTCTCTAAGACCTTGTAATATTTCCATGGCTAAATCAATATTGTATGATTTATTACAAAAAGGTGGTCTTCCACTAGACAATTCCCAAAAAAGTATGCCAATACTGTATATGTCACTTTTTTTATTTAATGAATATACTTGATTTTGGTTGTTGATATCCCCTTTAATATTAAAAATTCTTGGATCAATGTAAGCGACTATTTCAAATAAATTTGATTGAAAGTTAATTAATTTTTTAATCCTTTTTGACAATCCAAAGTCAGCTAATTTAATGGCTTTCTTTTGAACTAATATATTATTGGAATGCTATTATTAAACGCAATAAATAAATTTTTTTTTATCGCGAACGCGACATTAGATAAATAAAATTAATGAGTATATTGTGGGTATATAATCTTATAGTATAATTTAATTAAATGCAAATAAGCAAATAACTTACCAAATCATGATGCATGATTTCTTTATCATGTAACCATGATATAGCATTAGCTAACTGAAGTGCCAAATTCAATTTATCATTCCAAATAAGGTTTTCAGAGTGTTCACTTAAATAATTTCGAAGGGTACCACTATCGACATATTCCATAACCAGAAAATATTTTCCTGAATTATCACTTTGGTTTTCTTTTGAAGGATAACAAATATTTTAGATTTTTTTTTCATTTTTATAAAAAATTATAAGTTATTAAAATATTTATAATACCTGTGGAAATGCCATAAAAGCGAATGATATTCTCATGAAAATCAACGTCACGTTGTAGCTTAAGCTAAATCAAAATATTATTATAAATTAGAAACGTATTGTACAAGCATATTAAATATTTTTTATGTTACAGTATAATTACTTCATTAACAATTTCTTTGGCAGCAATGTTGAAATTAATAAAAGATTTCAATGCTAAAAAATCGTGTGAATTTTTCCAATTTGCACGATAAACTTTTCCAAAACATCCAAAACCAATTTCTTGAATATTATTAAAATGTTTATAGTCATAATATTTAGTGTATCCTTTTGCGATAGATTCTTCAATCCAATTAATCCACTCATTTGAATTAGCAATAACCTTATGTTCAGTGTTATTAGACATTGATTAATTATTACAGTAATGTTATAACCGCGAAAGTCAATTTTTCATTAAAAAAGTTAAAAAAAGAAAAAAAAATCTATTTATAGAAATTGGCGCCATTGATATGAAACAAATTCCAAAAAAAGAATTTGTGTAATTGTAACGGTAAGTCATTCCCATTTGGTAGAAAAAGACAATGTCCTACGTCAGACTGACTTACCGGTTAAATTAAACCTGTTTAAACCGATTAACTGTTATAATTAAACCGGTTTAAATGGCACCAGAAGGGTGTTGTCTTAGGGCGGCTTTTCATTATTTTTTTTTATGCTCTACTTGTAGGAATTATTTTATAAAGTTTCTTGTTGATTGTACTATTAAATGATGGTTCTTTTGTGAAGATAAAATTATGGCAGCAGATATGGTTAATATTAAAAATAGATAATAATTAAAAATATATATATATTAATTTGATATGAAAATTTCTTAAATATACACGGGTGTTTCAAAACATATACCACGTGACAATCGTGACCTTACAACAAAAATTTATGGAAAAAAAATTTAATAAGTATAAACATTTAAAACAACGCACAGCAAATACATTTTTTCATATTCTGCAAGTTTGCTTAAAGTGTAAGGATGGGTTTGAATGTCATTTTTGTATCTTTTCATTTCTTTTTTTTTTTGTTTAAACTTAATTCCGGCCGACATTAAGTGATTGGCATAAAAATTTACCTTTTTTGGAAACCCGTGTTTGAACACTTCGTGTACGAATAGAAATTGAAATTGAAATATGTAAATAAATTATTTTTTGTTTTACACATAAATAAATATAAAAAAATTATGAGAATAAATGATGGCCTTACACATTAAATACTTAACTAACCACAGTATTAAAAATACAAAATATTATTGAACGTTAAAATATTAAAATTGTAACAGTAATTTTTTATTAAATTTTAAAACTAACTAATTAGTTATATTTTTCAATTCTTTTTGCTTATTAAATAATTTAAATTGTTCAGCAGAAATTTTGTACCAATAAATTGTACATTTAGCTATATCACTTTCTAATTTTTGCTGCCTCTTGAAATAATTCAAATGCTTTCATCAACACTCCTTTTTTATAACAATAACCTAAACCGGTGACTCCACCTATTTTCTATTTTTTGATATAATTCAAATGCCTTTTGATCATCAACGCTTGTTTCAATTCTATTTAAATAATATATCCTAAATTATATATTCCTCGTGAGTTTCCTAAATTTGCTTTCTTTATATTATAATTACTTCATTAACAATTTCTTTAGTAGTAATGTTGAAGTTAATAAAAGATTTCAATGCTAAATAACTGAGATTTTTTCCAATTTACACGATAAACTTTTCCAAAACTTCAGAAACCAATTATAATCGTAATATTTATTTATTTTTTTTTAATAGATTCTTCAATCCAATTAATCTACTCATTCGAATTACCAGTAACATCAAGTTCAGAGTTAGTATGAAACATTGTTTAAGTACTGAAAATTTTTGCTGCGTAAAGATGTTGGTAAATGTTTCAGTATATAAACAATTTAAAAAAAGTATTTCTCACACGTAGCATTAATCCATAAGTTACAAATCAGAAAATAGTTTAAAAAAAGGAAAAAATGAGTTTGTATTATTAGTAAATCTATAGAAATTGGCGTTTTAAACAAAATCAGTTTGTGTAATTTGTAAGTCTTTTGCATGCAACAGAAAAAATTTAGTAAGGAACAACAATGTCTTACGTTGCTAATGGTGTAACATTGGTAAATTTTTTACGTAGGATCATTTGTGAGACTATAATCAATATGCAAATGTGACTATCAAAATAATTTCTATAAAATGAGACTTCAGCGTAAATTGGATTTTTTGGAACTAGTCTCCTTGAATAGATTAATAGTTGTTTCCAACTTTGTCTAGGTAAAATACCGTATTATTTATGCCAAATCATAACTTTTACAATTTAAATTTGTCATACGAGAACCACCATGTGAGTACGAATGGGTATGATGCTCATTTAATAATAGTAATATTCTAGATAATTATTAATTAAAAAGATGTCCGAAGTTAGCGCGGAATTTTGATAAATTCTTAAAGGAATTGTGTGAATAAAATCTCTGTTTTTCTCGTGGTTCCTATGAAAACTTTTTTTTTGTTTACATATATCATATGAAAATATATGTACAGTATATTGCACAGTATAGAATTATCTTTTCAGTTATATTTTCTTTAGTACTTTCTTTTTTTGCTCTGATAAAGAGTTATATACTGATAAGTTTTTTTTTTCAAGTTAAAAATTGGTTTTTATTGGTTTTATAACTCTTGTTACAAACTCATTTGAATAGATTTATTTTATTCTCAACATCATCCATATTTTTATAGTGAACAGAAGGTAATTATTAATATTATTGTAATATTAACTGCTTTGACAATCACAAAGATATGAATTATTACCAAAATATATGAAAATAGACAAAATAGAGTACGGTAATTACTTTTATTATAGCTAATAAAACAACGGAGTGGGCTATAGTCTAGATTAGGGCAAAACATGATCCCCCCTATCGCGGCATTTTTTTTTTTTGATCCGCTCTTGTGCAAGTTTGAGCCAATGAAAGGTTTACATGCATATAAAAAGTTGTTATTTGAATTGCTAAATATATTGACTAAAATTTTCAAAAATGAAAATTCCTAATGAAATAACGTCACTTTTATAGATGAATAGGAAGCTATAATAGCTATAATTTGAGCTTTATAGAATCTGTAAAAGTTTTTCATGTTGTGTCACTTGTTTGATGTAAAATGTAATCAAAAAATACGACTTATTAACAATGAAAATAAGGTCAAAATTAGGGATAGCAACGGTCACGGTTATTAACTGACCGATTTCGGTCAGTCAAAGGCTTCTGACCGACCATTTGACTGGCCGTTGTCATCCCTAGTCAAGATAACACATTAAAATTAATATTTCTCAAGAGTTTTGTTAATAAAGAAATAAGCAAAACCGTATCTATTAAAATAAAGAACTTATTAATAATCAACCAAAATAATGTGATTATGAAAAACTTACAGGTTAAGAAGGTTAAGAGGTAATATGGAAGAATTTAACGGAATGACAAGAAAGTTAATCAGTAAGAAAGTAGGTCTGGTTTTTTAACAGCAAGTACATTCTTTTATGATAAAGACTTTAATTAATCACAGGATTTAAACATTAAAAATTACATTTAAATCATTAAAATAAATTATAAAAAAAATACTGGAAAAACTCCGATAAATGATCATTTTTCTGAAAAATTTTTTACAGGGAAATGTAAAATATTCAAAATTTGTCAATATTTTTTCATACATTAATATTTAATTGCAACTTATTTGCTTAGAAATTCTACCAGCAATATAAACCCGTATGTAATCTTTATCGGTTAAAGCATTATGAAGCTGACTGGATAATACAAGAAAAATTTAAATATATTTCAGTTCTTTTTATTTATTAAAAAATCTAATTTACATTTAGCATCTTTCTCTCCTTGTTCGGCAGATTTCTTATACCAATAAATTGCTTGATTTATATCTACTTCAACACCTACTCCGTTTTCATACATACAGGCAAGATTATATTGAGCTAAACTATCTCCTAAATTTGCAGCCCTTTGATACAATTCAAATGCCTTTTGTCTATCATAAGGTGTTCCAAATCCATTTAAATAGCAATATCCTAAACTAAATATTCCATGCGTAAATCCTAAATTTGCTGCTTTTTGAAACAATTCAAATGCCTTTTGTCTATTAACAAACGTTCCAAATCCATTTAAATAACAGGTACCTAAATTATTTATTCCACGTGGAATACCTAAATCTGCAGCCTTTTGATATAGTTCAACTGCCATTTGTTTATCAATACTGGTTCCAACCCCACTACTATAACAATATCCTAAGCTAGTTATTCCAAATGCATTTCCTGAATTTGCAGCATTTTGATATAATTCAAATGCCTTTTGCTTGTCTATATTAGTAACGATTCCAAAATGATTAAATATTCCAAGTAAAAAAATAGCATCTGAATTACCCTGATTAGATAATAACCAATCATAAAATTCTTGTGAGGTGACATCATGATTATTAAGATAATTAATAATTTCATGTTTTTTCCTTCTTACATCTATATTTTCAAGAAAGATAGTTAATTCATTAATCACCATGCTAAAGTTATTTATAATTAAGTTTGATGAAATCAAAGGTTCCATTTCTTTTATATTTATCTTATTAAAATTTTGAATAATTTGAGACATTTTCTCATAAATAATATTTTCAGAAATTTCAATATTTGATCTAAGCTGGATATCTGCATTAGAATTATTTTGTTGAAAATCTAAAGTAATTGCATTTAATTTAGTAACAATTTGATTGATAGTTGGACGATTATCTGGTTCATCATTCCAGCATTCTGAATAGAAAAAAACGGATTAGGTCGTTATAAATCATAATTATCATAATTGAAATTTAAAATTGTATTTACCAGTATATAATTTCACATAGTCTTCTGGTGTATTAAAAATAGGTTTTTCTCTAAGACCTTGTAAAATTTCCATAGCCAAATCAACATTGTATGATTTATTACAAAAAGGTGGTCTTCCACTAGATAATTCCCAAAAAAGTATGCCAATACTGTAAACATCACTCTTTTTGCTTAATAAATATTGACTGTTGATATCCCCTTTTATATTAAAAATTTGTGGATCAATGTAGGCGACTGTTTTAAATAAATTTGATTGAATATTGAACGATTCTCCAATCCTTTTTGACAACCCAAAATCAGCCAATTTGATGATATTCCTATGAACCAATATATTACTAGAGTGCTATTACAAAGGCAATAAAAGAACAAATAAATGTATTAGGTATCATAATTTAATAAAATGTGAATAAGTAAAATAACCTACCAAATCAAGATGCATAATTTCTTCATTATGTAAGCATGATATAGCATTAGCTAACTGAAGTGATAAATTTAACTTATCATTCCAAGTGAGATGTTCAAAGCGTTCACTTAAATAATTTCGAAGGGTGCCGCTATCGGCATATTCCATCACTAGCAAATATTTTTTTACATTATCACTTTGGGTTTCTTTGAATGGTAAAAAAAAAAAAATATTTTAGAACTTTTTTTTCATTTTTATCAAAATAAAGTTTTTAAAATATCTAAACACCTGTTGTAATGCCATAAAAGTGAATAATATTTTCATGAATATCAACCTCACGTAAAAGTTCAAGCTAAACCGAAAATAAAATTGTAAATTAGGAACATAATACACAATAACGTATCATAAAGACAGAAATATTTATATAATATTATAATTACTTCATTAATAATTTCTTTCGCAGTGATATTGAAATCAAAAAAAGATTTCAACGCTAAATAATTATGAGAATTTTTCCAATTTGCACGATAGACTTTTCCAGAACTTCCGGAACCAATTTCTTGAATATTATTAAAATGTTCATAATCATAATATTTAATTTGTTTTTTTGCAATAGATTCTTCGATCTGATTAATCCACTTATTTGAATTATCAATAACTTTAAGTTCGCTATTAGACATTTTTTTAAGTACAGAAAAGTTTTTACTTCGTAAGTTAATTAATTTTATTTTGTACTATTTATAATCCAAAAATATGAATTTGTGTAAATTTGTAATCAAGTTTTTTTATTAGGCTGATCGTATGTCGCACCGGAGATAAATTGTACTATACATACAAATAAAATGATCAACATCCATAATCGTTTTAGCGAAAAATTGTGATACACAATTCAAATTAATTTACACAAAATTTTTTTGTTATATAGATTGAAAGAACTATAATATACGATAGATTTTTTAAAGTCCTCTGAAATTAGAATAGATTATTATGATTGAAATTCTTAATATTCAAAATTAATTTTCGTTAAGAACTTTGTCTGCCAGTTTAATATTAATTTAGTAACATTAATTTTAACGTCAAAGAAGTTTTAAAATACCATTTTTCTTTTTTTTTTTTTAAGAAAAATTTTTTTTTTGACAAAGTGATGGATACAATATAATGATGATAAATTAAAAAAAGAATTGTAGTAAAAATATGTAATAGTTATGTAATAGTTATTTCACGAATAACATTGATTTTTACGGCTGTGCGGCTGTGCCGTGAAAATCATTATATTTCCCATATTTATATCACAAAACACTTTTTAATATACCTTTTTAAGCTAATAATGATGGATTTATTGTTCTAATATTGATGGATTTTTTTATCCATCTTTTTAAATAAAAATCATCTGTGAGACGTGAGAATATCATGAATTGTAATTGGTACTTTAATAATTATCTTCTGATATAGTGTTAGGATGTATTGTTGATGTTCTTTGTATATCAAATGAATATATGATGTCATGATAACTTTAAAAAAAAAAAAAAAAAAAATTCTTAAATAATTTTTTTTTAATTTTTTTTCAGTTATCACAATTTATTCCTTATTTTCATTTTTGAGGCACGTTCTGAAATTCATCGCAAATTATGTCCGAAATTTAAAAGCGCAATTTGCAATATATATGGAAAGTTCATGAAGATTGGAAAATTCACCAAACATAAAATGGGCGACGTTTATTCCTTTTCACATAAATATGTTTCTTAAATGACGTCTTAAATTTTCATAAGCAACAATCTTACGAAGTTATTCTTTACTACACTTTAACATTATAACATCATTTACTTCAAAGGAATATCAAAGAACATATAATATACTTAATGGGTTGAACGAAAAAAAAAAATTATTTTTTTAAAAGGATTTTATTAATAGGATTTTTAACAAATTGCGAAAGGTAAGCAAAGGATTTTTATTTTTTATTTTTTATTTTTATTTTTATTTTTATTTTTGACTTGAATGTTATTAATATTCCTTTTTGGTTTTCTTTAGGAACAGCTTGAATTGAAATACAGAACGACATTTTGGTTATATAAAAGAATTGGAAAGAGATAATTGCAGATCAAAAAAAGGTGAGTGAATTGATTATTAAAGCTTTTATGTGGTAATTGGATAATCTATTAACTAAATATTATAAAACAGGAGCAGAGTTGAAATCAAGGATGAAAAGGAAAATCATAGCCCCTGCTTCTAGTGGTAAGCCAAGAACAATTGTAATCATATATATTTCTGGTTAATTATGTTTTGAAGCATTACTTTACCCATTTATTTATATTAGAGCTCAAAGAGAACTGTGTTGATATTTTTAGGATTTTGTTGAATAGAGGTCAGCGTTATTATTTTGATTTCAGATCCAGGTTCTGGGAGCAACCGAAGAAACATGTTGAGATCAAAGATGAAAGGAAGTTATGGCCCTAATCTAAAGAAAAATACTATGATCATCACCAAATCAAGTATGGATAATTAAACATATAATACATGAACACCAATGAGAGAAACTACTTAATACAAGAAGAACCAACTGGATAGAGAGTGATACATGCACCCATATCTGGTTAAGATTTCTGATATATAGAAAAAGATTTTATTTTGATTGGATTTATACAGTGTCATCATTACAACACAATACTGATATCAGATGACACTTGATAATGGGTCAGATTATGAAGAAACTTTAAAGGAGACCAAACAAAAATGAAGGCAAAGAAAAGAGATGATTAGAAAAGACATCAATGATGAAAGACTACATTCTCACAAATCTTTTTTTGAATTGAATGTAAGTTTTAATGTTTTGAACCTTTTTCTTTTTTAGCAAACATTTTGCTAATGTTTTCTTCTTTTTTATAGATTAACTTCATTTCTTATAAAATGATTTGCAAGACTTAATGTTAGATATCTTCTACAAATCAGGTGATATACCATGGTATGTTTTTAAACAAGACAGTGAAAAGAAGGTAGTCTTGGAACAAGTAAAATGTATTGAAGATGCTCTTAAAAATGTTAAAAACTTCAATGACCTTGTATGGTGTTTTGCTGAATAGCAAATTAGTATTATGTAATATTAACTGGAAATTTGCACCCAAAAGACACCTATTTCTCATATTTATGATATCAATGATATCAGATTGTTTGCAATTAGCAATGATATTTCCTTTATTCTAAATAGTTTCTTAAAGCATCAACATCTCAAATAAACTGGTCAACAATTATTAATATTGGCATATCTGATAGCAAAATGGAAAATGGCTCTTTTAATCTATAATAATGTATTGCAACAAATTTTCCTGCAAATCACCCCGATTTCAGAAGAAACAGAGGTATATAAAACAAAAATATGTTGCTAATTTGCTAAAATAAAGTACACATTTTTATTATTATGGTTTTTTTAAAGCCTGGTGTAGGCAAAGACTTCAAAATTGACTCCTAACATTGGGCTGGGCATTAAACATTCAATACTCTAGATATTGGAGACCTGGCATTTACAAACGCATTTAACTTTATAATGGATGCCATATGGAATGAGAAGAATACATGTGATGAGGGCCATTCATGAATATAGCCTCTATTGATTTGTTTTAATACTGTATTAATGTACTATTTAAATTTAAATGGTTTTCTTTTTTGGTTTGTTTATCTGGTAAATTTATAGCCAAATCATTACAAGAAATATTCATCTAAAGTTGAATTCACTGAATCTACTGATGGAAAGCTATTTGTTATTTATGCAAAATAATGTTCTATGTGACTTTTTGTTATTCATTGTTTAATAATAATTAAAAAATTATTTAAATTTATATATGTGGATTATGGTAAGACCTCAAAGCATATAAATAATACTGTAATTGTAATATATTATATGGTTGAAATTGTATAATCAAGTTAGATTATATTATCAATAAAAGGATATTAAAAAATGAATAATTTCTTTCTTGAAAGAAAACTGTTAATTTATTTTTATTCTAAAATTTCGTGATATGAAAATTGTACCAAAAAAGAATATTGAAATTAGTGGATTTAATGATTTAATCAATGATTGATCCAAAAAAATCACGTTTAATTAGTCACATTTATTATAATTGATTGGATATACACGTGATTAGAAATCATTCACTAACAGTGAAGCATAAACAGGTAAAATGTCAGACACGGAGTGACATTTTGTCTAGCCATGCTTGATATTTTATCGCACAATGTCTGATAATTTTGTCCAACTCGGCTTGCCATATAACAAATAGTAATTTTGGCGATTATTTTTGTGAATTTGTATTACGTAAAATATAAAAAGAAATTTCTTAACGGAATTATTTTCATCAGCTGATTTTTTGAACGCCCAAGGTTTGTCGATCGCTGCTGTGCGACTGTAATACGTTTTATAATGTCGTGTTTTTTTTTTTAAAATAAAAAATCTTTTTACTCTGTTTAAACATAAAGTTAATATCACTTTTATTATCCAAAAATATGGAAGAATTTATGCTCTGTGGCGATGTAATTGAGCAAATAAAAGATTTTTACCATCGGGAATTAACGGATGAACAAAATTTGCTAATTGATAAGCTAATATTAAATGAAGAATTAAAAGAACGTTATAAAAGTAATGGTTTATGCAAAGATGGTAAGCAGCCTAAAATTACTGGTGCTTGGTGTCAATGTAAATTTCAACAAAATTTCAAAAATTGGACTAGTGGAAATAATGAAATTGATAAGCTTATTCAAAAAGCACAACTTAAAGCTAAAACAAGTGATAAAATTTTGGAGTGGATTGAATATGATAGATTTGAAAATGTTGAATATTTGGCCAAAGGAGGATTTGGAACTATTTATAAAGCAATTTGGAAAGATGGTTATATAGAAGAATGGGATTTTGAAAATAATAAATGGATAAGAAGTAAATATTGGGTTGAGAATTACGAAAATTTTCCAGTTGTCTTAAAATGTTTACATAATTCACAAGATGTTACAGTTGATTTTTTAAGAGAAGTAAGTTATTTATTTATAATTTTTTTAGATATTTTCCTTTTGTAAGTACTAAACTGATTATTATTTGTTATTATATACGAATCATTTTTAGATTGAATTACATACTACGATTTCTTCGCGTAAGGTAACTTTTTGTTATGGTATTACTAAAGATCCAGAATCTAATAATTTTATGATGGTAATGCCGTATTCAAAAGATGGCAGCTTAAGACAACGTTTAAATAATAGTTTTAATTCAATGGAATGGAAAGTAAAGTTGGACTTTTTAGAAAGGATTGCAAACGGACTTAAGGATATTCATAGTCAAGGATTAATTCATCATGATATTCATTGTGGCAATATATTAAATCATGATGATTATATTCGTATTACTGATTTAGGATTATGTCGACCAGCAAATGTAAAATCTTCTCAAGATGAGTATAAAAAAGTATATGGAGTATTACCTTATGTAGCGCCTGAAGTTTTAAGAGGAAAAAAATATACTCAAGAAAGCGATATTTATGGATTTGGAATTATTGCATATGAAGTCTGTACAGGGCTTCCTCCTTATCATGATATTGCTCATGATAAAATCTTAGCAATTAGCATTTGTAAAGGGCTTAGACCAAAATCTGATTACAAAATTCCTCAACTAATTTTGGACATAATTAAACAATGTTGGGATGCTGATCCTTTAAAACGACCTAAAGCAGAAGAACTACATGTTTCATTAAAGAATTTATATAATTCTTTTTTTTCAGATAGGCGTGACCATGAAATCAATAAGCAAATTGAAGAAGCAGATAAAATTAATGAAAGGTTTACTTCCTCTTCATTACCATATAATGGTACTACTCTTTCATATACTACGAACCCTCAAGCAGTTTACACGAGTAGACTTTTAAACTTTAAAGATCTACCAGAACCAAAAAATGCTGTTGATGACAATGATGATGATAATTCATTTGAATATTCAGGTAATTAATGTCTTAGTTTATTATTATAAAATTCTTAAAATTCTTGAAACTATTGATGTAAAATTATCTTTATCATATAGAATCCATAGAAGCAATAGATTTCACTAAACTCAACCTAGGTACTCATTTATATTAATTTGTTTCCTACATGTATAATTTTACTAATAATATTAACAATTTGTTTAATAATTCATTTTATAGATAAAAATAGCTAAAGAAAAGAAAAGGAATATAAATTTCTTTATTAATATCTATTGTTTACTATTTATTTTCTTTATTACTACTACAGTATATGTATTTTATTGGAATACTAGTATCGTGCCGTTGTTTCGCATCGGGACTAATGTTTTTAATCAATATTATGTATTATAAATTATAAGCATTGGTATGAATAAAACAATCTATAGATTCATTATTTACTAGTACTATTTGTTGAAATAGTTTTTTTATTTTATTCAAATTTAAATTTTAAAACTGATTTTTTTTTATCTTTTTTGTATTGATCGCTTTTATCGTAGTACAATTTGTACATTTATAAAGACAATAATATCATATTATCCAATACAAAAAGACGTAAAAATGTAAAACAACTTAATATCATGTGATTATTTCTGTGACCAATATATTTTTATCTATACGAATTTTTAATTAGCTGTTATTTCTTGTGAAGGACGTTAATTACGAGATCTCGTTGATGGTACTATGAGTATCTCCTGGTGAGGGATACGACATTAGCATTACAAATTCCTTGACATTTTGTCAAGTTTTTCCTTTTTTTTTAGGATAATACAATATGGAATTTCTAGGTTTAGAGGATAGTAGAATAGATATATATAGCATAGTTAGATGGTCCTTCTCCTTATCCGTCTTAGACGTAGTTAGTTACAGAGTATATTGTATACTGCTAAGTACTTCTAATCTATATTTATTATCCATTTTGTTATCAAAAATATTAATAAAGAAATGCGTTACTAGCAAAAAAAATTAGCTGTTATTATTTCAATTCATCATTATTTTTTCTTTTTTGAACTTTATATATGATTACAAAAATATCTTCCCATTTCGTATTTCATTACTTTTTGCAGATGTCACTTTTTCCAAGGTTCTGAAAAATATAAAAATAAATTTTCATGATACAGTGTTTATTCAAATTTTCAAAATAAAAAATATATTAAATATATTATCAGTTATTATTTTCAATTTTTAATTTTATTCAATATTATCATAAATATCAATTATATATATAAATGGTGATTTATTTCTTTCTTTATTAAACATTTTGTTCATCAAATGTGTAATTATTTAGTTTAAAAAGAATATACAGTAACTAAAGATAGTATTGCAATTTTAGTAATTACCTATACCTATATTAATCCGTTAAAAATTTTTACTATCTTTATTATATTTTAATAAAATTATTAAACAAAAAATAAAAGATATAAAAATCACAAATAATCATTTTCTTTTTAAAAAAAAAGATTTCTTCATTTGATCTTCAAAATTATTTTTCCAACTTTTCAATTCTCTTTATTGTGAGCCGTTTTCTTTAACATAATTTTTGAATATCATTCACTATTATTTGTTTTTTTCTTGTTTTTTTTTTTATTTTTAATTTCGTTGGTAATAATAAGAATAATTCTGAAACTTTTTACTCGTTTTTTTTAAATTTTTTAAAAATGGAAAAATAAAAAAATCCAAACAATAAATTATAGAATTTGACATACCATAAAACATTTTTACTATTGTAACTAGAGGATTCTAATGTGCGGTGAACTTAACATTAATCATGCATAAAAATATACAACTACTACTTTACGATTGAGATGAATCAAATAAGCTGCATTAATCCTTCTATAATCACTGATATTTAACAAAATGTATTTTTTTTTAATTGTCCGAAGCGGGATGGAGGACTTTTACATTCTACGCAAAAGCATGCCTGTCCCGCACGTGACTTATATACACGTGACAATATATAACAATGCACTGATGTTGTGGCAAAAAGGTCAAATAATAAGATTATAGGTGTTACAATAATTTGTGACGTAATGAAAGTACTGTTAATTCTGGTAAATAATGTAAGGGTTTCTTGAAAATAAAAACTTATCAAACAGATAATGACAAAACACAAGGTAAAACAAGTAAAACACGTGAAAAGTTTACTGCATAAACTAACAATTAAATCATATAAAAAAAACCAATACTTCGGATAACATAATCTAAACTCTCTGTTAGATCTACCCAGGTTTTAACGACTTTTATTCAAAAGCCCTATATATGTTTACATTTTCATACATGACTGTTTGAACTTATCAATATTATCCTAATTATATTAATATGATTAATCAATCAATTGTCGCAATTACCTGCAAAAATCTTTCTATTACTATTTTGTATAAGTTCTATATGTCTATATGATTCATCAACTATGTAAATCTCAAGAAACTTCTCTAACTAACTAATAAAGCAATTTACTAATGTTATAATAATTAAACTGATATAATTAAATATTTATGAGTCAAAAGCAATAATAATACTAAAAGTGGTTAATTAATGTAAGTAACTAATAAAACTAAAATATATTATAAGGAATGTTCCATATTGTAATAAACTCAGCCACAATCATGGGATTTCTGCGCACTACATCATGTGACTTGTTCGATCTTCAACTATTTCCATGGGTAGCCCTAACAATAATTTTAATTAATTCTATCTTAAACTAAAGTTTAATAAAGTCTAATTCGTTACCAAAATTTTTGCTTAAGTATATAATAAATTTAGTTGTTTTTAAACTATTTCTTCATGTAATTTAAGATTCATTAATAATAAACGAAAAAACATAATAAATGATATCTTGTGTAATTTATTTTCGTTATTAAAAGCCTAACGAAAATTGTGCCAATTTCCAGAGACCGTGCTCTTAATGATGTACTTTTTAAGCCATTTTCGTTTGAATGAATACAACGCATTAAAAAAATGTAAGAGGTTACAAGAGAGATTGTCTGAAGAAAAGCGATTAATTTCAAATATTAAATCTTAACGAAATTTTATTTATTATTACAAATAGTCTAAAATTACAAATTATTTTAATTTCAGTATTTGATTTATAATTATGTTGAATTATTTTATTAAACTATTTATCAATAAAAAACTTCAACAATTGGTTTACAAATCGTTACAAAATATAGTACTAATAAGATTTCACTTTGGAAAAACGTGCAGCGTGATGCCACCATCGGACATTTAATGGTCACCGTTACCTAGTTTGTAGTACCTAAAATATACATGATTTTTGTAAATTATATATTTTTTAAAAAAACTTTAATCTAATGTATTTCTCATGTATTAAAACATTTAATCATTATCTAATTAAACATATATTTTATGATATAGTATATGGTACAGTAAATGATGGTATAGTATATGAAAATATTAATTATTTAGTATATGGAAATCAAAGAAAAAGATATAATAAAAAAAAAATACTATTTAATAAATTTAATAAAAATTAATTATTGTTATATATCTGATATTTTCTTTAAAGTCTAAAATGGATGCTATTTCAGTTTGGTCTTTCAGTAATTTATACAAAGAAAAAGTAAATTCTTTATATAATAATAGTTATGAAAAATGTAATTGTATGATTATTTAATTTATTAAATACTATTAACTACTATAATTCTATAATAATCAGAAGATATAATAAGAGAAAAGAGTTATAGATTTAGCTGTAATGAATTATAATTTTTAAATCGTAATTGCTACTGGATCTTATTTATGTCCTTAATGCACCTGAAAAATTCTTGTCTTCATATGAAAAATAAAAAGTAATAAAATTACTCTTTATTATATAATATTTTAATTGTTTAATGTATACAAATAAGTCTTTCATTAAATCACATCAAAAAAAATATTTTACTTAACTTTTGATGTGTTAATTTTTATTTTATTTAAGTATCATGATTTATTAGTACTATTCCTTTATCATATATATATTCATATTTTTGTTTCTTGAATTATATGTTTATTATGATCTTTCCATGTTCATGGATTATATTCTGATTTTTATATAATTTAATATTAGTACTTATATATTTTTTACAGATTTTTCCTGATGGATATTTTTTTTTTTAGGAATAGTAGCAAGTATACTTTATAGAATACATTCTTGTAATATTATAAGGTTGTTTTCCTTGATGCTGAATTTGATAAAAAATTTTGGATAATTTTAAATTGGGATTGTTTGACTAGATGTTTATATAAAGAAATGATTTAATAAAAAATAAGGGCAACTGCATATCCATTTTTCTGTATTTGTTATATAATTTCCCTTGATATCTCTTTTTTCCAATGTAACCATTCTTTTTTAAAATCTTTTTACCATGACACTTTTTCTCTTTTATTAATATATTTATTATGTTGTTATATATAGATGATAAGGAATTAAATAGGAAATAATTATGTAAATAACGAAATCTAATTCTGGGTTTAAAATTTTTGAAAGATAATAATGCTTGAGTACTTTCCATTGAGACTCAATAAGCATTGTGATATGAAAAATATAAATTTCTATTGATAATGAAACAAGTCCACAAGATCCACATTTCTTTTTGATACCAATTTGTCCACAGATATGCCCAAATATATTGTAATTATTATCAAAACAAAATTGGTACCAAATTTCCTCACTAGTTGAAAGTTGTTTATTGACATTTTAGGAATTAGTGGATGCTAGTGTAAATGCTTTTCTAATAAATCAATAATTTTTTGCTGTAATTGGGCAAAAGGTGAAATTTCATCTTTAAATATTTGATACTTGATGGGTCACGGCAAATTTAATATGATTTTAATTGTCTACTAATAAATAATGATTTTTCTTGAAGGCGGTAACATTTGAAGGTTATTTGGGGTCATAGGATATAAAAATAAAAATTTTATTTTCAAAAAACAAAAAATTGTTGGTATGATATATTGTGTGACTGCGAAAAAAAGATCGATAAAAATTAGGAACAATCAGTTTGAAGTTCCTTTGTAATTAATCAAGATATTCATTTATACAAATATAGTAAATTGATTTTTTATTTTCCTTCTTGATCATTCTTTTATATAAAATCATCTTAAACGTAATTTGATTCTAAACAATTGAAATAAAAAATTAAAAATCACATAACCGTTAAATTATAATAATAATATTATAAAATTAAATATTATTAAGTATAATTAGTGATTATTAATTAATAAATAAAATAAAAATTAACGCGCCAAAAGTTTGAGTAAAATTTTTTTTGGCTAAATTTGTCACGTGTCAGATCACTATCTTGTGTGATGGAATATTAATCATCAATAGCCTTTGATGAGATTGCGTATTATTTCTCTTTCAACTTTATATTGACTGAAAAAATATCGTGAACTAGATATTTAATTGAATGAGTTAGCAGGATAAATTAATTTATTCTACAGCCAAATAGGATCATGCTTTTTTCATCATGCTGATATTTTTTTATTAAGCTATAAATAAACTACCATTGCATAATTATTATTGATATTTTTGACGTTGATTAATCAATAGTTTATTGTATTTATAAGATGATCATTGGCGGCTGCAGAATAACACAGTTATTTGATAGGGGGGTTAAAATATCATCCGAACTGCTTCGCAGTTCGGTGATATTCTAACCCCCCTATCAAATAACTAATATTTATGCTTTATCAATAAGCACCTTATATCTATGTTGAAATTTAGAACTGTTTATAATTTATTATAGATATTATAGATAAATCTTATTCGAATGATACAATTGATACATAATGACATAATGATACTATATAGTATAAGCCACATGTACTGTATATAAAGCATGATAAGTTTGATCAACATAATCATTTCTCCTTTTCTTTCTCTTTCTCTCTTTTAAAACAATGGCATGTTCAAAAATATTTTCTGGTGATATACCAGAAGTAATGCAAAATATCATAGAAAATCTTCGTGATGACATAAAATCACTTTATTCTTGTATTTTGATAAATAGAAATTGTTGTTTTCTCGCGACACCTTTACTTTGGGAAGATCCTTTTTCTGTTAAATATCGAAATAATTTATCACATCATTTTATTGACACATATTTTTCATTTTTAAATGAAAATGACAAAAATAAAGTTAATAAAATTAAATTTCACAAGTCAGATATAAAAAGTTCATACAAACCTTTATTTAATTATCATGCTTTAATAAAAACTTTAGATACTTTCAGAATGGAATTACATATTATATGTTGGCTCAACACTACGACTAATAATGATCAAGGAACTTCAAACGAAAAAGCTTATGTTCAATTAATTACGCTTCAAGATGAATCTAACGAAGAATTCAGATTGGTCAAAGCAAATAAACGGAATAATGGAATTCAAACAATTTGTACAATTTTATTCAACCTATTTGTAGAAAATAATGTTATTTTAAACAAACTACATATAACGTTTACTTTTTATAATAAACAACTTTTAAATTCTATTTATAAGTTGATTTTAAATAATCCAACGTTCATATCAAATATTAAAGAATTTACTATTCATTTATTTAATTATAACAAACAATTCAGTATAATTAAACAATTTTTATCTTCTCTTCCATCAAATATTAAACATATTGAATTTTTTCTTAAGGATGAAAATAGTGAAGAAAAAGATATTATTACAGATTTAATTAAATCACAGTCACAACTTTCTTCAATTAAAATGAGATTTTCTTATAATATATTAAGTCATTCATTCTTGGATTCTTTAAAAAATTCATCAAATACTTTAACATCATTATATTTTGGCTCAAATAATATATCTGATTTGAGTTATGATGCACTTTCTAATCTTACTCAACTTAAATCTCTTCAATTTAAAGATTGCGATTTGAATTCAGGTATTTTTCGATCTTTACTTAAAATTAAAACACCATTGAAGATCAAAACTTTTGCCATTAAAAAGATTCATGTTAGAGAAATTGTCGAAATAGAATTATTTCTTCAAAAAGTTGGTTATTATATAAAAAATTTGGTTTTGGATATTGAATATATTTATAGAAATGACAACCATTTTAAAGAACGTTTATTTGATGCCATTATTAATTATTGTGAAAAAATTCAATTTCTTCATTTATGTCATATTGATTATAATGATATTCCTAAATTATCTAAAATAATTCCAAATTTTAACAATACTCTTAAATTTCTTACCCTTGAAGTTAAATTTTTTAATTTTGAACATTTTTCTTATAATATTAGTATTAATAATGATGTTGATGAATTGAAAATTAGTTCAATGATTTTAAAATTATTATGTGATTCTTTACCTTCTAATTTATGTTATTTAGATTTAAATCTTGTGATTAATCCTGATGATATAAAATTACTTTTTGATAATTGTGATCAAATTGATCTTAAAAGATTATTAATTAGAAATAGAAGTTCTCATAATTTAGATGTTACTTTAAATGTTATAAAAGATTTCATTAAGAATAAGAATTTGGATTATTTATCTTATTCTATTAGGAATGATCCTAAATTTCGTAATAATTTGGAATTATTATTTAAAGAAATTCAATCATTTGTTAAAATGAAGAATTATTATGATTTAGCTATTAAATTGGATCATAATGGTAATATAAAATTTAATTATTGAATTAATTGAAATTTCAATTTCTAATAAAGATATAATTCTTGCAAAACATGATAAATTATTATTCATGGTTGTATTGATTGTATTGATTGTATTGATTGAAAATTATCTAAAATATCTCCGGATAACAATTTAATTTAATAAAATGATGTAATGTAAATTTCAAAAAGAAATGATTCTTGATCATCTTGATTTCTACTCAACTCGCCCTCATTTAAATAAACATCATCCGTAAATATATCAAGAAAAAAAATCATGATTTATTAATGTAATATATCATTTAAGTATTAAAAACTTTTTATAAATAATTCAATGATTGATTTGTTGTGAAAAGGACGGTACTTTAATGGAGAATGTTTGCGGTACCGTAATACAAAATTCTAGTTTTTTTATTTACGAAGTATATCAAATAAATACATGAATTACATGATGTCATGATTACAGCACCTGTCATATGACTTGCCGAAGCTAATTTAACAGGATCATTTAAGACCTTTTTTTTTTTAAAAAAAAAAAAAAAATTCTTTAAATTCTTTATTTTTTTTAAAAACTTTTTTTTTTTTCTTTTTTTTTCATAATTTTTTCCTTATTTTCATTTTCGTTTATTCTATTCACATCAATATATTTCTAAAATACCGACATGATTTTTCTGCAACAATCTTACGAACTCGTTATTTACCACACTCAACATTGTAACATATGATATTATTGACTTCAAAGGAATATCAAAGAACATAACATAGACTTGATGGATTGAACGAAAAAAAATTTTAAGAAAAGGATGATTTCTTAATGAATTGGCGAAAGGTAAGCAAAGAATTTTTATTTTTTTTATTCTTATTTTTATTTTTGACCTGGAATGTTATTAACGTCGTTTTTTCTTTAGGGATAACTTGAATTGATGGACTCTGGGAAACTGTAAGTTGCTAGAGAGGGGGATTTTTCTTTGACTTGGGAACATTGTTAATAATGTTCTCTTTACTTTTTTTTTCTTTAGGGACAATTCTTGTATTTAGAGTTCCAACTTAAACTGAAATTGTAAGTTGAATTGTGGGATCAAAAAATTTGCCCTTTTTAGTTTGAAAATATTACTAACATTTTTTTTTGTTTTCTTTTTTTAGGGATGGCTTCTGGATTTGGAATCAACCTCTCCTTGGAATAAATATATAAGGTATAGTTGAATGGATGTACAGCAATGTAATGTGTAATTGCATCTTTTAAAGTATGCTTTCTTTTTTAGTCCTCATCTCTTATATGCTGAAAATCACTCTAATTAAAGAGTATAGTATGATAAAATTGATGATTTGCCATCCTTGATGAACAAGTGGCATGACCTTGATGATTCTTGACCCAATTGATTTTTGGAAGAGGAAGCTATTATAACCTCTACTTCTAATGGTAAGCCAAGAATAATTGCGAACACATCTATTTCTTATAATAATGTATTAAGACACTAATTTACATATTTATTTATATTAGAACTCAATAAATAGAAGAAGCATGTTGAGATCAAAGTTGAAAAGGAAGCTATAGTCTATGACCCTAATATCATAGGAAAAGTATTACAACCTCCAAGACAAGTACAGGATGCACCCTATTTTCAGTTAAGAATTGTATTTCATTTGTTAAGAAGATCAAATCTTATCAATTCAATAATAGCATTATATGATATTCATGCTATTATCCAAAAAATATAATCAAAGTTATAATATGTCAAATGAAAAAAATATTTGAGGAGTATTAAAGAATAATGTACTTGACAACCTCCATATTATTACAATTCACAAAAACCAGTGGAGGATATCAAAAAAAGATGAGATCATCAGAAAGTCCAGCTTTATTTATAAGTAGGTTGAAAAGTTATTATTAGAGGTTGAAGACTTGAAGTAAAACTTACAAGGTCTTAAATTTAGATATTAGTAAACTCTTCATAAGATTTGGATAGAACATATGGTGAAACAGTACCTCTATACTCTGGTGAAGGCCACTTTTGTTGTTAATATTTAACAAATTTACGGATATCTATTTGCTAATGAATTGCAATATGGAATTCTTAAACTTTTAACCAGATCTTTCAAAGACTCAAGAGTGAACCACATGCTCTCCTACCATTGATATTAAATCAAAGAATCCAACATTATTCCAATATTATGCATTCATTTAGCATTTGACTAGAATATATATTGTGAAAGAGGTTTTGATTGGTAAAACAATTAGTGTTGCTGTTAATGAACTTTGGACAATATTGAAATGTCATAAAACCATCAAAATATCTTAGTTTGGGAGAGTCACCATTATCTATCATCACTACAATATAATGCTGATAATGCATCAAATAAAAACACAGATTATAAAGAAACCTTAAAGAAGACCAAACAAAAATATAAAAAGAATTAAATAATTCAGACACTTTAGTTAATTTTCTAGAAAAGATTTTAAAGATTGTGGTAAATTTGTAATCATCAACAACTTTTAAACAAGAAGCCATAAAAGTGTTGGAACCAGTTATCAAAATCAGATTTATAATCAGATTTAATTGTTTTGGATTCATAACTGGTTGAAATTTTATCAAAATGATAAACCAGTTTTACTATATCAATTTATCCAGTTTTTTTTTTAAAATTTGTATTACTGTACAGATCTCATAGTGTAGAACTCAGAGAATAGTAATTCCATTTGGAACCATGGGCATTATGGTCCCACCTTTTTGTCAACCAATTCTAATAGTAACAGTTTGGGACATAGTGGGCTTATTATAGACTCACTATTTTGCTTATAATAATAATCATTTAATAATAATAGTAATAATAATAATATAGTTCATTAGCTATTTTAAAATATTTAGCATTCCAATTATAATAATTAATAAATAAATAAATAAAAATTAAGTGAAAGTAAAAGTGTGTTAGTAAGTATTAACTGTTAAATGTGATGTAAAAGTAATGTCTTATATTAATACTAGTTTAATCAATTAAACTGATTTCAGTATAATTGCTGGTTTATCTGATTTAACTGGTTTTAATATATAACTGTTTTATAACTATTTTCAATTTTTAAGAAGTTAATAAAACTGGTTTTAATCTTTAGTGCAAGAAGTAGAAAAGTGCAAAAAATGGAAAAAAAAGAGCAAAGAGCAGAAATGAGCAAGAAAAAAATCAATAAAAGTTTGATGTATTAAACAGGCAGAAAATCCTTTCATGATTAGAATTTGCATTTACATTTTCACAAACCTCTTTTAAGATAATATAATAAAATGAGAGTTTTATTAATGCTTCAAGCAAGGCTTATTCCTTTTTTTTTTGAAAACAATTTGCCTTCATCTTTTCTTGTAAATTTAGCATAGCACTCTATAAATTTATTTGTAGGACTATTCATATATTAAGTGGAAGGGTAATATATCAGACATTTATAAAGAAAAATTTATTTAATTATAACTAGACTCATAGTATTAGGATGGTACTGACCAGCTTTTTAGAAGTATTGTCATATAAATAACTTTTTAATTTTATTAACTAAACTAGAAATTGTATTCTAACAAATCAATCTAATTATAAATATAGAAAAGCTCTACAGTATAGTAAAAATAATAGTATAGATTTTATTATTGATAAATTGATAAATTACAATTGAAACTGACTGACTGACTAGTTATAGATTTGAGTAAATATTAAAAATTTGATTATGACAAAATGATATTTGGAAAATTTGTTAAACTTAAGCAAAAGCTTTATTACATTTATTAAGATAATATATGCAATTAATTTAATAATATAAAACTTTTTATCTATATCTAACAATGTATTTCAAAGTAAAATATTACAATATAGAAGTATATATACAGTATATAGTATTATATATTTTAAAAAACTAAGGATTTTTTTTAAAAAAATACTATTTAATATTGAGAATGTAAAAAAACCTAGATTTAAAAACGAAAAATATTTACTATTAAATTACCTTGCCAATATTCTTTTATACATTTAACTAACATATTTTTTGTATAATCATTCAAATAATATAAATCTGTTATGTTTTATTAATAAGAACTTAATTTAAAGTATATTTATTATCTTACATTTCATTTGTTATTAGTTCATTTAATTTAATTTTAGCATCATCATTTCCTTGTTCAGCAGATTTTTTATACCAATAAATTGCTTGATTTATATTTTCTTCAATTCCTATTCCATTATCATACATCTTAGCAAGGTTATATTGAGATAAAAAATATCCTAAATTTGCAGCTTTTGCATATAATTCAAATGCTTTTTGATAGTTAACATTAGTACCAATACCTTTTTCATAGCAATATCCCAAATTATTTATTCCAAATACACTACCTAAATTTGCTGCAGCTTGATATAATTCAACTGCTTTTTGATAATTAACATTTGTTCCAAATCCATTTAAGTAACAAGTACCCAAATTATTTATTCCACGTGGAATTCCTAAATTTGCAGCCTCTTGACATAATTCATAAGCTTTTTGCCTATCAATACTAATTCCCATTCCTTTACTATAGCAATATCCTAAACTAGTTATTCCAAATGCATTTCCTAAATTTGCTGATTTTTGATATAATTCAAATGCTTTTTGTTTATTAACATTAATTTTAACCCCAAAATGATTAAATATTCCTAATAAAAAAATAGAATTTGAATTATCCTGATTATTTAATAACCAATTATAAATTTCTCGTGAAGTTATATCATGATTATTGAGATAATTAATAATTTCATATTCTTTTCTTGTTATTACTACATTTTCTAATAAATGAATTATTTCATTAACCATTAATTGAAAATCATTTACATTCAGGTTTGATGAAATTAAAGGTCCTATTTCTTTTATATTAATCCTATTAAAATTTTGAATAATTTGAGACATAGATTCTATATGTAATGATTTATTTATTGTTTTATTAGGAATTTCAAAAATATTCTGTTGTTCATTTGATAAATTTGATAAATTGGTACTTTCTTTTTTAATAATTGCATTCAATTTCTCAACAACCTGATTGATAGTTGGACGATTATTTGGTTCAATATTCCAGCAATCTTAATTTAAATAAACTTGTAATTAATAAAAATTATTATTAATAACCATAATTAACTTAACTATATTTACCAGTGTATATATTAACATAATCTTCAGGGGTATTAGGAATTGGTTTCTCTCTAAGACCTTGTAATATTTCTATAACCAAATCATCATTGTATGATTCATTACGAAAAGGTGGTTGGCCACTAGATATTTCCCAAAAGAGTATGCCAATACTGTAAATATCACTCTTTTGATTTAATGAATATACTTGTATTTGATTATTGCTATGACTTTTTATATTAAAATTTTGTGGATCAACGTAGGCGAACATTTTAGATAAATTTGATTGAATATTGGTAGATTCCTCAACCCTTATTGACAATCCGAAATCGGCCAATTTGATGATATTCCTATGAACTAATATACTATTAGAGTGCTATTATTAAAGGCAATAAATAAGTGTGTAATATTAGGTATATAACTTTAGAACATAATTAACAAAACGAAAGTATGTAAATAACCTACCAAATCACGATGTACAATTTTTTTATTATGTAACCATGATATAGCATTAGATAACTGAAGCGCCAAATTTAACTTATCATTCCAAGTAAGATTTTCAAAACGTTCACTTAAATAATTTCGAAGGGTGCCACTATCAGCATACTCCATCACTAGCAAATATTTTTTCGAATCATCACTTTGGTTTTCTTTTGAGATAAAAAAATATTTTAGATTTTTTTTAATTATAATATAAAGTTATTAAAATATTTATAATACCTGTTGAAATTCCATAAAAGTGAATGATATTCTCATGAAAATCAACCTCACGTTGAAGCTTAAGCTAAACCAAAAATAGAATTATAAATTAGCAACATATCATATTAAAAGAAGGAAATATTTTTATAATTACTTCATTAACAATTTCTTTAGCAATGATATTGAAATTAATAAAAGATTTCAATATTATATAACCATGAGAATTTTTCAAATTTGCACGATAGACATTTCCGAAACTTTCAACCCCAATTTCTTGAATATTATTAAAATGTTTATAATCATAATATTTAATTTGTTTATTAACAATAGATTCTTCAATCCAATTAATCCACTCATTTGAATTATCAATAATTTTAAGTTCAGTGTTATTAACGTTAAACATTGTTTAAATATAGAAAAGTGTTTATTGCGGGAATTTTTTTTTTTTTTATAGTTTAAAAAGGAAAAAAAAAAAAAAATTTTCTTACTATTTATAGAAATTGGCGTAATGACTAAATTTGTGTAATTTGTAACACGCAGCAGAATGTCCTTACGTCAGATTGTTCGTTAATAATGTGGCGTAACGACTCCTAAACTTTTTTTTAACTCTCATGTATCGAGTTTATCAATTTTTTTTTCTTTTTTAAGTCTACAAAAAGTTTAAACAAAGTGTATGTACAGAAATATGTCGATCGCAATAATTTTTTAAAAATCAGTTTAATAAAAGATTTCATTTCACAATAGAATTTTCAAACAAATATCTTTAAATAGATTAATATGATTGAAATTGTTAGTAATTTGTGTTGACAGCTTTTTATCCACCAGTAATTTAGTAATATTATTTTAATTCCATTAAATGTCATTTGTTTTTTTTTTTACGAAAAAATTGAAGCTTTTTTTTTTTCGTAAAATTTTAAAAAAATGATGCTGAGATGTATAACAAATTAAATAAAAAAGAGAAATATTACTGTAAATTTAATTAATTACTTAAAAGTACTAACCGGTAACCGTTGAAAGTCCAGAGCGAAAGATAAAACTAAAATTAGCGATTTCATTGGATGACGTCACGTGAGGGACAGACGAATTCACGTGGTCGATCATTTTTCATAGTACATATATGGTCTTTCGCTTCGCTACGGACAGTTAACCTTTTACAATTTAAATTTGCATCCAAGAAGCGTCATTTAATTATTAAAACAGAAACATGTGAAATTTTGAGAAATTCTTGAGTGAATTGTATGCTAATAAATACAATTTACGCTACTTCTCATGATCTTACATACTGCGCAGTATAGGTCGGTTTATTTTCTTTAATTTTTTTTTTGTTCTATCATAAAGTTTAATATTTATTTATAGATGAAGTTATTTAAGTTAAATAGTGAATTATATGCTCATACTTTTTGCTACAAATTCACTTGAATAGGTTCAAACATCATCGCCTCACAGAGATACGATCTTGAGACTAAAAATTGTATACCACATATTTTTAAACAACAGAAAAAAAAAATTTAGATGTAAAATAGTTTTAACAGTAATAATTTTTCTTTGGAATGGAATATAAGGCCTATGAGAGGAATTTTATTGGTAATAATAATGATGTAATGTTTTGTTTTTGGTGTATATATACAGTATATATATTATATTTTTGTTAGTAACGCGCATTTCTTTATTAACTTTATATATCAAAATAATACAAAAAGTATACAAAAGAAATACATATAGTCTCTTAACTCCATAGTTAAACTTTTGGATGCGTTACCAAAGCAACACTACAGGGCGACTGAATGAAACGACTACTCCATGTATATATATTAATAAGAAATATCTATAAGACTATAACTAAACTAAATAATCATCACCGCTAACCCTATAAAAAAAGAATGTCCGGAAATTGTAGCTGAAAACGTCCGGAAAATGTTTATTTGTCTGGAATATGTCCGGAATATTGCAATATTCCGGACGTTGGAAAATTTCCATTTTCCGGAAAATGTCCAGAAAATGTCAAGGAGGGTTCAGACACAGCGTCCAAAAAGTGTCCGGAATATTGCAATTTTCTGGACGTTTTCCGGACACACGGACATTTTCCGGATGTTTTTAGCTACAATTTCCGGACATTTTTTTTTTACAGGGTAAACTAAACTAACCTAAATAAAATATACAAAAATAATAAAAGAGCCCACTCCAGTTCCCGAGTCACCGTAGCCGAAACTACTTTATAAGGTTACTTGAATCACGGTTCTTAGTCCGCAGTCGAAGGGAATGCCCTATAAAAAATAAATGTCCAGAAAATGTCTTTGAAAATGTCCAAAATTGTCCAGAATAAATCTGGCATGTCCAGAAATTGTCCGGAAAACGCCTATTCTTTGCTACAAATTTGATACCTAAAATTTTGACATATCCGGACTTTGTCCAGAATATATCCAGAATTTGTCCAGTATAAAATTTTGGACAAATTCCAGACAGATAAACCTGAACAAATTCTGGACATAGTAAAAATTCAGATAATTTGAACTGGACAAATTCTGGACGCTACTTCCAAAAAAGGATAAATTAATTTTGTAAAAAAATGCAAAAAGCACAAGACTGACATTCATAACCTTCTTTGTCATACTAATTAAATTTGCTGAGCAGGCAAAAATACTATATATCTATGATATAAAACTTTAGATTAAAAGCAATTATAATGATGGTCACCTGTTGATCATCTTTTTGTGCCAAATTTTATGAAAAAATATTTCAGGTCAATTTCTGGACAAATTCTGGACAAAATGAGTGTCCGGTAACGAGTGTGTTTTTGGAACAATTTCCGGACATGGTACCTGGCATTTTCTGGACATTTTCTGGACAATTATTTAGACAAATTTTCTGGACAATTTCTGGACAATTTCCGGACACTTATTTTTTATAGGGATGATACTCTTTCCATATCCTAACCCTCATAAACTAAATCTATGTTCATTTATCAGAATTATTTCCTGGCAACATTACGATATCTACGGCGTATATCCCTGAAAAATCCAATTTTCGAAAATCCGGTAATAATTATTCAAAGAGTGCGAAATAAAACAGCGATTAATTAAATAGAACAATGGTTTATCGCACTTTTCAAAATTGTGCTACCCCTATAAACCATCTAATAAAAAAACTATTAGATTACAGGACGATTACCGGACAAAAATTGGACAATGTTGTCCTGTAATCGTCCTGTAATCGTCCTGCAATCATAATCACTCAATCATCACAATGTACATAGAATTCTGAAAACTGCGATAAATAGGATGCCAACGATGTTTTTTCGATGTTTATTAGAACAAGTATACTTGTCTATATTTATTCATATTTGGTGTATATATACAGTATATTGTATTCTTTTAAAGATTAAAATTATATTCTAATTTTGAAATCAAAGATCACTCGAGATTGGTCACTACATATGGAGATATTAATGGTCAAGCTAAAAAAAATAGAGAATTAATAGGATTAATGTATTGGACGAAATTACTCATCAATCAGTGATTCTAATCATTGGATAGGTATCATTTCAGTTAGAAACATACTCATATATATGTCAAATTATTTATAAGAACTATATTTGAATTTAATATTCATATAGATGGTATATATTAAAGTCCCTCAATTTTATTTCCAATTTTAATAAAATTTTAGATATATAGATATACTAAATCGTACCGAGAAATTTATTATGTAAGATTATATCTCTCAAGTTATTTGTATCAAAAAAAAAAGTCTAGATAACATTAGATCAAAAAGTCATTACATATGAAAGATAAGTAAATAATAAATGGATTTAATATTAAATTCAAAATAAATTCAAAAAAAAAAAAGTGATAACTGCTTTCATTACCGTCATACTAACAGGTTAAAATAAATAAGGAATAAACCTTTTTCTTTGTTTTGAATACAAATCCCATTCTTTTCCAAACCTTTGTTTTAACACTTTCTCTTCACCTAAAACTCTGTGCCTTCCTAAATATAAATATATGAAAGCCCATGCAGCATAAGTATACCAACTATATACGAAAAATGAAAAATCGACGGGAGAATAAATTGGAATATAATAATGAAGTTGATAAGTCACATATAAAACAATAGGTGTCATTAACATAATTGCAGTATACTAAAAAAATAATAAAAAATAATAAACAAAAAATATTAATAAAGTTACATTATTGTATTATTGATAAACCATTTAAAAATATAACTTACCGAAGGATGAATTAATAGAGCATAAGGACCTGTATCAACTAATTTATGATTTTTGAGAATGGTAACATTAAACGTAAAATATTCTCTCAATGTGTAAAAACTCCATAATCTTAAAGAACACCCGAGAATGGTTATTATATAAAATACGATGTCATAAAATGACCATTCGCTAAATCGAACATTTATAATAGCAACGCCATCATTTTCTTGTTGATACATAATGTAAATATAAGATAATATACATAATGACCACATGATTACAAATGGATATGGAAGAGATAATAATACTTTTTCTGAAAAAGTAGTTTTAATTTTTGATAAGTTTGGGAGCGGAGTTGGTGGTAATGAAGATTTCATTACGATACAATAAAGAAGTAAATATGCGATAAGTTTTGAAATCATTTTTTTTTTTTTATGATGAACTTTCTTGAGTCGTTTTTTTTATGGTGAACTTTATTGAATCTTGAGTCGTTTTTATAATAATGTGAGAAGATAATTATAATAAAGGTCATATGCGAAAAAAAGTATATTATTTTGCATTTTTAAGACTTTTAAGGTATTTTAAGTAAAAATCACATTTAAGTAAAATTTTAAGGTCAAAGAGTATGACATACGCAGTAGTAGTTTGTAAAGGTAGTTAAATGACATTTGCAAATACACAGAAAACCTCAAATGTACATAATTTTGATGATAATAACAACAATAAAGAAAAAAAAGGAAAAGAAAATCACTTACAGAATAATAGTTAAAGAACATGAACTTAAGGAAACGATCATGTAAACTAATCAACGTGAATTAAATCTAAACATAAATAATTCGCTATTAATATTATACTTATTTTAGACGTTATACATATATAACTAAGCATAATAAATTCTATAGTCCTAGAAATGGAAAGACATTGTATTTATTTATAATTTAGATTAACGCTTACAGCTAGTACTACATACAAGATCGGCTTGCTAACGCAATTTATTATAGTCGATCACCGATGCAAATTAACTAAAATAAAATAGCTAAAAAAATAAAATTTAAATAATTTTCAAATTTTTTTTTTAAAAAAAACATTAAAATATTAGTAAAAAACCGGGAAAAAAGGTGCTTACCATAAAAAGAACGATTTAGCTTAAAAAAGAAGGAAAGAAAAAAGAAACGTTCTGCTGCGCCGATCGCATGCTAAAACTTTTTCGTTAGTATTAGCCATCGAACGTGCACGTGACCCCAACAAGCCAACATAGAATAGATCGAGCACTGACTTTCCATCAAATTATTTATAGAGTAGTCTAATTATCAATACTTCCTTTAAATAATATATTGTTTAATTTTAATCAAATTAATAAAACGGAGCTTTTCTTAATACGAGATTTTGTTTACAGGATTTTTGATTTTTTATTTTTTTTGCTATTATAATTATATAAAAATTTTTTAATTGTTTTATTTGAACGTTTTCTTCTTTTTCTCTATCCTCGTTTAAGCAGAATAAACATATGATAATTATTATTTATGATTTGATTTTATATCGATGTAATAATTTCTTTTGAATTTGCAATTAAGATATTTTAAACTATTTCTTAAATAGTTTTACTAAATTTATAAAGATTTAATGTAAAATATAAGTAATGAGAATTTTTTCAATTTTCATGGAATTTTCCAAATCAGTAAAGAATATTTTAGGGGTTCAAAGAGGAATATGGAGATCATTCAAAAAAGATATAGTGGTGATTTGTGGAAGGTCGCTTTGCATGGGATATACAAATTTTACATTTTCGTCTCCAGAGATAGTCCTCCGCTTTGCTCCGGACAATAAATAAACCTTATAAAAACCAATCGAAAAACTTTTCGCATTCTTGGAATAGTGTTCTCTGAAAACAAAGCATGCTGTTACGAGATGATCGAGAATAAGACCCGAAGCCCAACCACTCCCAAAAGTGTAGACATAAGAAGGCAAATAAATAAAGCAGTGTAACTTATCTAAATAAAACTATATAAAACTGTAAAATTACAAACCGCCTAACAAAACTAACCTAAAGTAACATTAATATGATATTTACTACGTTTATGTTTTTTTTTTGTAACCATTTATTAGTATTATAAGATTTATACAATATAAATGATTATGACATAGACGCAAAAGCATAATATCAATAAGGTATCTATCTAAAAACTTTTGAAACTATACCATAAAAGACTAACTAAATAGAACCCCATTTAATAAAGCGCTAAAATCATACTATATTGCATATTTATTCACTCCCTTCGCTATTATCATCCCCTCGAGAACCTTGAATTTGCGCAACACGTTTCTTGTTTTCATTAGTATTATCACCTTCCTTTAATAATTTACCTGTTTATTATCATTAATTTCCTTAATTCTGTCACTAAAAACTTCATTTAATTTGTTAAAATCATCAATCCTGTCGTTCAAATCTCCTTTTGATCTGTTAGACCGTCCCTTGTATCATAAAATTGTTCGTCATCCGACTTCTCCGATACATTATTGTTTGGCCTCGTCTTGTAGATCCTCTGTGACTTGAAATTGCCGTCCTTCCATTAAGTTTGTCTTGACTTTTTAATTGTAGCCCTTGCCCTATTTCATCTTCCATTCCCGATTTGTAGACCGCGTTCATTATTTCATTTTCGTTGTTAAAGTATAAAAGGATATATTTAATTTTGTTAATCCTAATAACTTTTCCGAAAAATCCTCAGTATTTCTTAATATTTTTAATAATTTCTCCATCAGTGATATCATTTCCTGCTACAATTTTCTTAACTGCTCGCCAACTAAATTTCTTAGTTCACGTGGCGTTGAATCAGGATCAAACATCTGGAAAAAATATTGACGACCGTTCCTAATAATTGTAATATTAGCCCATCCTCGAGTCCTCGCGTGTAAGTATTTTAATACTCTTTGGTAAACGAAGCTTGATTCGTCTTGTACTTATAACTTCTTTTGATCGTAATTTTCTCCGCGTAATCTCAGTGATCATTCCATTTGGGTAATTTTGTGTATCTGAATTTTCCGACTTTTACGCCTCCTGCTTGAAAATTTTTCTTTGTTTGACCCGAGTTATTCTTAACTTTTTTGTGAGATAAACTCGTGCCTTGTTCTTTCTTCTTTTCCTTGAATTTTTCGGTAATAATTCTAACTTCTTCTTTTTCTAATTTCATTCGTTCCTTGACCGTTACATCAACTTCTAACTCCCTAATACGTCTGTAATCGTTTCTTTATATTTTTCTAATCCTCGTACCCTATTTTCTAAATCCAGTATGGTCTGTTTTAAATTTTCTACTTTTTAAAGCAATATTATTCGTTCTTTCTCTGATAATTCAGTTGCCATTTTGTTTAATTTTTCTTCCAAACAACGTAACTCTGAGTTTTTGCTGCGGCCCCCTGGAAGAGACGAAAAGTTTTTTTCAAAAGCTTCGGCATTATTTTCCTAATAACTTGACCACCCATAATATTAAAAAGGTTCCTATATGTTACGACTGGCGCGGACGCAAACCTGGTGAAAATATTATTCTAGACTACTGCTCGTTCGTACTTGTATAATAAAACTTATGCAAACACTTGTCTTCTATACCCAAATACTTCTTGTAAATCTCTTCTATAAATTTGTTAGTAACCTCTTCCTGCGTTGAACTTGTGTTTTTAGACATATTTGTGTATTATTTAATAAAAATAAAAGCTTGTTCACTTGGAACAGATGTAGAAGGTATACCTATATAATCACGTGCAATTTGGATAAAAGTGGATAATGTGACTTTTCTTCGTAAAAAAATGGCGCTTTTTTTTCGTAAAAGAAAAGAAAATATTTTTACTTTTATTATAATCATGAAATTTTCTATTACTTAAGAGGAATAATAATTATAACTATTATTATAAATGAATTTGGATTACAAGGAGTTAAAATATTAAAAAGCTATGTAAATGTAATAATTATTTAAAAAAAATCCGTTGTTCCCTATTATTCCCTATTTACTTAATAAAGCCTAGTACAATAAAGAAAATGAAAATTAATGACTAATGCTTGCTAAGTAACTAACTAAAGTTTGTGTTCCCTGTAAAAAAATGTTGATCCATGTTTTATATTTCCATGTTTTTTCCGTGAATGTATGAATGTATCATTTTCACGAAAGTCACGGAGGAATAATGGAAATATTCGGATAAAAATTTTTTGTGCAATGATAGCTTGTTTCCCATTATTTAGTTGTTATAGGATAATACAAACGTTTTTATTAGATTTTCCCGATTACCAATATGTAATGATCTACTATATTAAAAACAGTCTTAGGATTTTCCATCGTCACAGACTTTACAGAAACTTCAAGATCGTAGCGATGGCTTAATGCGCAGTAACTGCGTTATAAATACATAGTGACCGCATTATGTAATCGTAAAGAAATTACATATATGCAGTTACTGCGCATTAAGCCATCGCTACGATCTTGAAGTTTCTGTATAGGATTTACAGTTACAGATTTACAATTATCATAGAGAATTCAATCCCGTAAACTAAGAAGGATGAATTTTTATGTGACAAAGTCGGGTAGATCCGAATCGGCCCATAAAGTGACAGAAAAAAGTCCAAAAGAAATAATCTGAAAAAAAAATCAAACAAACAAGGGTACAAACCGTCTGAAAGCTGATTGAAATAAAAAAGATGATCTTATAGAAAATATTAGCTGGAAATTCGATTTGAGTTTTTAAGAATAAAGGTTGAAACAGTCCAAAAAAACCTTAACCAGTTAATTAACCGGTTAATATGAAATTTTTTTTTGCTGAAATTATCAAGTCTCTGGGCCGCATTAAGTAATCCGACCAGAATTATGGATTTATGGTCAAAATAGTTTTAACCGGTTAAACATTAACCGGTTCCAACCTCGTGTATTAAGAAATTTTGCTCTAAAAATTTGAAGAGGCAGTAATGTAAACTTTATAACACCCTTAAATACTACAAGTTTTGCGCAACTCAAAAAAATGTGAAACATTCAGCTTTTTTTAATCATATTATAGTACGCTTACAGGATTTTTTTATTTTATTTATTTTTTTTAAAAAATTTACTTATTGCCATTACATTATTATAATATTCGAGATGAAAATTTTTTTTTTTTGTGTAGATTTTTTTAAAAATCATTGCATCATAATGCACTTTGGTCATAGCAATTACAACAATACGGGAAAGTATGTACAAATTAGACTTTTAAATTATTTTGCATGAAGAATTTTCTTTTCTTTTCATAATTTTCCTAAGTTTATCTAATTGAGATGTAGCAATTAGATTACCTTGTTCAGCAGATTTTTCATACCAATACATTGCTTGATTTATATTTTTTTTAACTCCTTTTCCTATTTCATACATAAAAGCAAGATTACATTGAGCTATATTATGTCCCAAGCTTGCTGACTCTTTAAACAATTTAAATGCGTTTCTGAAATTAACCTTAGTTCCAATTCCATAATAATAACAATATCCCAACATTACAATTCCACCTAAACATTCTCCATCAGCTGATTTTCTAAATAATTCAAACGCTTTTTGATAATCTTTATCAATTCCATTTCCGTTTAGATATAAAAGACCAAGATTACACATAGCTATCACACTTCCATTACGTGCGACCTCTTCGTACCAATGAAAAGCTATTCTAAAATCTTTTTTAATATCTGTTTCTCTATCATAACATTGAATAATTTTTAATTGTCCCGTTGAATAATCTCTATTAATGAATTTTTCTAAATATTTAAATGCCAATTTTTCATCTTTTACAGTTCCAATACCAAATTCATAACATTTTCCAACATAATATTGTGCCAACAGATGATCTTGTTCGGATGCATTAATAAATAGACGAAATGCTTTCTCTTCATTTTTAATAGTCCCAATTCCTAAATAACTAAAATATCCAAGTAAAAAAATAAAATTTGGATTATTTTGATTATTTAATATCTTGTTACGAATTTCTTCTGCATTTATATCAAAATTACTGAGATAATTAAGAAAAAGGTAAGGTTGCTCTTTCCCTTCATTTGTTATTTCACATATTTTCATTAATATATCATTAACCATTTCACATAAATCTTCATCAACAGTTGAATTTATTGATGTATAATTATTAATTAATGATTCTTCATTTAATGAAGTTGAATTTTCATTTGATATTTGGTAAGTTATATTATCAATATTTTCATTTTGTTGATAAATAATTGTTTTTAATCTTTTGACGACTTCGTTAACAGACGGTCGATTGTCCGGTTCACCATCCCAACACTCTAAATATATATCAAAGTTATATGAAACATAAAATTTTATAATAAATTTAGTCATAATATTTTTAAATTTTATCGTTATACTTACCAGTATAAAGTTTCTCATAATCAATAGAAGTATTAGGAATAATTTTTTCTCTAAGACCTTGTAAAATTCGCACGGCTAAATTGACATCAGACTCGTCTTCAAAAGGTGGTTTACCACTTGATATCTCCCATAAGAGTACACCAACACTGTAAACATCGCTTTTTTTATTTAATGAGTATGATAGTATGTTGAATTTTTTTGGTTCAATGTAAGGAATCATACTAAATGATTTTGTATGTGATTTTGATACTACTTCAATTTCTTTTGATAAGCTAAAATCTGCCAACTTTATAGAATTTTGATGTACCAATATATTACAGGAGTGCTATCATAAAATGTTTACAATATTTTAGTAAATATACGTCGATCAAGTTAAATTCACGATGTTTATTTTAATATGCATTAATTATTTACCAAGTCACTATGCACAATATCATCATCATGTAAAAATGATATAGCACAGGTAAGCTGGTATGCCAGATTCCATTTATCATTCCAGGTAAGACCTTCAAAGTTTTTTTTTAAATAATTTCGAAGATTACCCCCGTCGGCGTACTCCATTACTAATAAATAATTTTTTGATTGATCAATTTCATTTTCTAACGAATGAGAAAATAAAAAATATACATATATTAGCTTTTTTTTATAAAAAATCAAATAATCTAACTAATTTAATTTAAATTAATTTATCTTACCCGAATTAAGTTTTGTAATCCCATAAAAGCGAATAATGTTATGATGGACATTTACGTCTGTTTGACGTTTAAGCTAAATTATGAATAAAATTTATGATTTACGTGCTTGAATGTGTATAATAAAAATATATATATAAATACCTCACAAACGATCTTTTCTAGAGTGAATTCGTTAAAATTAAAAAAAGATTTCAACGCTAAATAATGTTGTGTATTTTTACAATTAGCACGAAATACTCTTCCGAAATTTCCGATACCAATTTCTTCGATATTATTAAAATTTTCATATTCATAATATTTAATAATTTTTTTTGAGATGGCCTCCTCCACCCAATAATTTGTACTCCTAGCATTATTCATTTTGATGTTATCAATTATGTGTTTGTATTAAAAAAATTTTAAAAGACTTACGAAAATAAAATCCTTATTTATAGGAATTTTTTTCATTAAAATGTCGAACAAATATGATCGGCACAAAACTATTAATAGCTAAATTCACTGGTAAATCAAGAGCTTATAAGGAAATTAATAAAATGCGCTATATTGTATAGTATCATTAATTTATAATTAGAATGAATAAAAAGGTCGAGGTGTTTCAAGTTATAAGCGAAATTATTGCATATAATGGTCTCTTTTATTATTTCCTTTTCTGAAAATTAAGAACTAATTAAGAAAAAAATTATCGGTAAAATCGGAAAAATCGGACGTATTCCGCATGATCATCTCGATTTTGTTCTTATTTAAATAGTGAATCAAAGTTGAAGCAGAGATAATGATTATTAACAATCTGGTAACAATGAAACGAGTTTTAACTGATATGTTTGAATATATCTAAAAAAGGTAAATAAAGAAAATCCCTCTGGTTGGACCTTTCATTTACTAATCAAAATGTAATGTGTTATTCAACAAATTAATATATACTATAAAGTTATAGTTTAATACATGAGGTAATCTTGGCACACTTTGTTGAACTTGAGTCCGCGCAAAGCAAAATGACGTTAAAACTAAGTTAGTACTAAATGATTTTCCATTCACGTGTTTGTGATGTATTTAATTTTACTGGCAGGAAATATATATTTAATTAGCTAGTGTATTATTTTCTGGTGACCTTATTTAAAGAGTTTTCTTGATGCATAAAATTATTTTTTATATTTTGAAAAAATTTAATAATTAAATATCATGCGCTTTAACATCATACATTTTATTAATTCCTATGAGTGTTTAATACGCATAAATGATTTTTTAGATCTATTAACATATTATATCATTAAAAAAAAAAGAATTGTTTTATGATTTTTTTTATAGTATTTCTTTAAATAAAATTTTTTGGCTAAGATTCAAATATGCTGGTCTCTATCATTATACTGTACATTCTGTTAATTTAACTTAAACCCATTGTTACGACATACGATCGTATTATGAATATAAGTAATTTTGGTAATTTCATATCATGCATAGTAGAGCTGTGTCGACATTATGCAGCAATCATGAAACAATGTAATTTATTTTTTCGCATTGTTCATAAATTGACAATGATCAACACTAAATTCCATAAATCATCCTATAATTCTAAAATTAACCCGCAGTAAGAACTTTCTATTGGTTTTGACAATGTCTAAAAACGCGGCTGAACTTAAAGTTACTGATAATTCAATTTAGTGGATTAATTGGATTGAAGAAGTTGTTGCGAAGACAACACATTAAATATTACGATTACAAATATTTTAATGATATCAGAAATTGGTCCCGGAAATTTTGAAAAAGTATATCGTGCTAACTGGAAAAGTTTTCGCGATCATTTAGCGTTGAAATCTTTCTTTAATTTCAATAATGTCACAGTTAAAGAAATTGCTATTGAAGTAATTATAATTTTATGTTAAACTTATTAATATTTTTTTATCTTTAATCATGTATTACGTTCCTCACTTAAAATAATCTTCAGTGTGAAGTAGATTTGTGATGGATAATCATGGTTACCGCGACAAGAACTAAAAAAAAGTAAGATGTAATCCATTTTAACGTACAGCAGATTATGACTTAAATATTATTTTTACATTACAGGTACAATGAAATGGGTATTATCCATTAATTTCATTTTATGAAGGAAACTTGGTGAATGTATTTTGTTTCTATTGGAGAATTCTCAAAATCGCAAAATAAGCGTTCCGTTATCTCAAGATTCAATTGTTGAACATGAAAATGAAAATGATTATATTATTTAAGTGATATACATATGAGCAGGTTTGACTATTTACATGAAATCTTGAACAAATTACTTATAATTTTAATATACACTATAATGAGAATTTTGTATGTGTTCTAGTTGCATCTAATCTTTATTAATTTCTAATTGTATTTAAGGCCAAAGAGTTGTTAGAAGAATAACGTAATAAAACTAAAGGCTATTTATTTATGGTTAAAAAATGCTCGCTCAAATTTCAAACCACTGGAAAAATGAATATTGTCATATCATATGGAACTAGAAAATAGAAGAACGATAACAAAAACATGGCAATAATAAATGTATAGGGAATGATAATTAAACCTTATAATTGAAACAAGTTCTTTGGATTCTTTTGTATTAAAAATTTTATAAATTCTATTGTCTTTTTATTTATGGTTTTTATCGAATACTTTTTTAAAAAAAATCGAAGCCACGTGTAACCCTACAAACAATCCGGCTACTATTTTTTTTCCAGGTGATGTTAGTTACATATGTGAGACATTTTTTTTTTGTTGTTCAGAGTATATATCTTTTCTTCGATACAAAAGGAACCGTAAAAGAAAATGAGAAAATTAAAAAATTGAATCCTAGTTAGATTTAAAATATGTTTGGTCACACAGATAAATCTTATAATGATGTACCGTCTTCCCTTAAAAGAAATAAAAAAAACATTTCTCCTTCTTTCTTAAAACTTACCATTCTAAACTATTTGAAGAAACAAGTTTGTTTCCTTTCTCAACACAAACTGACGAACCCATACGTCTCCATAAAGCGTTCATACAAATTAAACGTTTTTCTTCTGCGCTTAAGCAGATTCTTCTTTCTGTTGTTTGAGCTGTTTGCTAACGCTTCCAATATCACTTCTTCCACGTTAAGATTGTTGTGATTGTTGTGCAGCTTTTTGAGACAGTTATTTGGAATATGAAAATTTTATTTTGAGCTTATTTTGGCCAATTTGTTCGTGTTCTTCACGTAATTTTTTCTTGACAGATATCAAGTGCAAATTTCTTTATAAGAGGAGATAACGTCACTACCGGACAATTTATAAGTTTGACCAAGATAGTCAGAAACAATATAAGTGAATGATGGTTGTTCCATTTTTTTTTCTTTTAAAAAGAACTATATTTTGATACAAGGAAAAACGTTAGTTCGTTTCTTAAATTAAAAAAAAAATAAAATAAAATTTAAAAAGTTTAAAGCAAATATTTTCTTCAAACTTTTCCAATTTATTCCAAGACGTTGATCTACAAGCAAGGTAGCGTCCTACAAAAAAGAACATTGAAGCCAAGTGGCAAGAAATCCAACTAAAAAGTCCAATGCTGAAACCAGATACCTACAAAAAAAAGATAAAATATAAAAAATAAATTGGAAAAATTTATTAGATAAGTTTCAAATAGAACTTACCGTATTGCCATATCCGAATCCAAGCTGAAGGAACAAAAAAAAAAAAGATAAAATTTTAAAAAAAAAAAAAAAAAAAAAATATAAATTTAAAAAAGAAAAAATTCACATGACCAATCGACCAAGATCGGATAGTAGATCATTACTAATTTAGGTCGAATAATTAATTTTGGCCGAATATAGGCTGAATTTTTTTTATTAAGGTTAATTTGATTAAATAAAAAAAAAAATTAGAATTGAGATTCATCGTCAAGTGATATTTAATGCATTGAAAAATTATCTTGAATTGATTTCTTCAGCCAAATTTTGATGACAATTACCATCTATTCACCACCTATTTACCACCTATTTAATGGCATTTTTACGACTTCGTAAAGATATTTTATCAACAATTTCTTGATACCACGTCGTCACATGTTGGTTAATAGATCGTTGTGATTTGATGGCCGATTTCTTAACTGCATGGTAACAAATCACGGCTTTCTGCAAAGTAATACTTACATTACACTTGTTTGTACATTTGTTCCTCCAAATATTTAATACATAAATTAATATTGTGTAATGTTTATTTTCCTTTTACTCGAAAAGATATTTATATCATAGAAATTTTTTAGTTTTTTATTTTTTTATTTTATTCTAAAGAGTGGTAATCTGTGTCTAATACAACTATAGCTATATGATGATAAACAAAGAGAGCTATCTGGAAGAAATTTTTTAGTCATTTCGCATAAAGTTTTGCAAGATAGGATATTTAAGATCACGTGATTTATGTATGATGTGCATCAATTCTTGGTTGGTATAATTTGAAACCCTCGTGGGAGCACAGAGACACAACATTCTTTGCACTACGTTATAATGTTACGACTGTTACGTCGTTACGATGAATTTAAAAACCATAGGCTTATTCAAATTAAGAAGTTCATAACTTTAACTTTTTTACCTTAAAATTCATTTTTTTATAATTTTCTTTTTATTATTAAACTTTAAGTACAAAGTGAATCAAAGTTCTGTATCGATGTCTAATAATACTGAATTTAATTCAAATGAGTGGATTGATTGGATTGAAGAAGCTATTACAAAAAAGCACATTAAATATTACGATTACAAACATTTCAATAATATTCAAGAAATTGGTTCCGGAAGTTTTGGAAAAGTATATCGTGCTAACTGGAAAAGTTTTCACAATCATTTAGCATTAAAATCTTTCTTTAATATCAATAATAATGCCACAGTTAAAGAAATTGTTTATGAAGTAATTATAATTTATGTTAACATTTTATCATTTTTTTTTGTTATTCTATCTTTAATTATATTACGTTCCTAACGTTCCTAACTTAAAATTTTATTTCAATATTAGATTAAACTTCAGCGTGAAATAGATTTTCATGAAAACATTATTCATTTTTGTGGCATTACAACAGGTATGATATTTAATTTGAATCGTTATTATCATTATCTTTTTTTTTTTTGAAAAAAAAAAAAAAATTTAAATAATTTTTCTTTATTTTCTCAAAACCAAAGCAAACCAAGACAATAATTCAAAACAATATTTACTGGTTATGGAATATGCCGATAGTGGTACTCTCCGAGATTATTTAAGTGAACATTTTGATAATCTCACTTGGAACAATAAATTGGAACTAGCATTTCAATTAGCTAATGCTATATTATGCTTACATGATGAAGATATCGTTCATCGTGATTTGGTAAGTTATTTACTTCAGTTATTTACACTTTAACAAATTATATTGTAATTATGCTAATTTAATTAATGCATTTAATAATAGCACTCAAATAATATATTAGTTCATAAGAATACCATTAAATTAGCAGATTTTGGATTGTCAAAAAGGATTGAAGAATCATCCAACNATTCACATGACCAATCGACCAAGATCGGATAGTAGATCATTACTAATTTAGGTCGAATAATTAATTTTGGCCGAATATAGGCTGAATTTTTTTTATTAAGGTTAATTTGATTAAATAAAAAAAAAAATTAGAATTGAGATTCATCGTCAAGTGATATTTAATGCATTGAAAAATTATCTTGAATTGATTTCTTCAGCCAAATTTTGATGACAATTACCATCTATTCACCACCTATTTACCACCTATTTAATGGCATTTTTACGACTTCGTAAAGATATTTTATCAACAATTTCTTGATACCACGTCGTCACATGTTGGTTAATAGATCGTTGTGATTTGATGGCCGATTTCTTAACTGCATGGTAACAAATCACGGCTTTCTGCAAAGTAATACTTACATTACACTTGTTTGTACATTTGTTCCTCCAAATATTTAATACATAAATTAATATTGTGTAATGTTTATTTTCCTTTTACTCGAAAAGATATTTATATCATAGAAATTTTTTAGTTTTTTATTTTTTTATTTTATTCTAAAGAGTGGTAATCTGTGTCTAATACAACTATAGCTATATGATGATAAACAAAGAGAGCTATCTGGAAGAAATTTTTTAGTCATTTCGCATAAAGTTTTGCAAGATAGGATATTTAAGATCACGTGATTTATGTATGATGTGCATCAATTCTTGGTTGGTATAATTTGAAACCCTCGTGGGAGCACAGAGACACAACATTCTTTGCACTACGTTATAATGTTACGACTGTTACGTCGTTACGATGAATTTAAAAACCATAGGCTTATTCAAATTAAGAAGTTCATAACTTTAACTTTTTTACCTTAAAATTCATTTTTTTATAATTTTCTTTTTATTATTAAACTTTAAGTACAAAGTGAATCAAAGTTCTGTATCGATGTCTAATAATACTGAATTTAATTCAAATGAGTGGATTGATTGGATTGAAGAAGCTATTACAAAAAAGCACATTAAATATTACGATTACAAACATTTCAATAATATTCAAGAAATTGGTTCCGGAAGTTTTGGAAAAGTATATCGTGCTAACTGGAAAAGTTTTCACAATCATTTAGCATTAAAATCTTTCTTTAATATCAATAATAATGCCACAGTTAAAGAAATTGTTTATGAAGTAATTATAATTTATGTTAACATTTTATCATTTTTTTTTGTTATTCTATCTTTAATTATATTACGTTCCTAACGTTCCTAACTTAAAATTTTATTTCAATATTAGATTAAACTTCAGCGTGAAATAGATTTTCATGAAAACATTATTCATTTTTGTGGCATTACAACAGGTATGATATTTAATTTGAATCGTTATTATCATTATCTTTTTTTTTTTTGAAAAAAAAAAAAAAATTTAAATAATTTTTCTTTATTTTCTCAAAACCAAAGCAAACCAAGACAATAATTCAAAACAATATTTACTGGTTATGGAATATGCCGATAGTGGTACTCTCCGAGATTATTTAAGTGAACATTTTGATAATCTCACTTGGAACAATAAATTGGAACTAGCATTTCAATTAGCTAATGCTATATTATGCTTACATGATGAAGATATCGTTCATCGTGATTTGGTAAGTTATTTACTTCAGTTATTTACACTTTAACAAATTATATTGTAATTATGCTAATTTAATTAATGCATTTAATAATAGCACTCAAATAATATATTAGTTCATAAGAATACCATTAAATTAGCAGATTTTGGATTGTCAAAAAGGATTGAAGAATCATCCAACGTTCAATCAAAATTATTTGGAATGGTTGCTTATGTTGATCCACAAGTATTTAATACAAAAAGGGATAATAACAATCAAATACAAGTATATTCATTAAATAAAAAAAGCGACATCTACAGTATCGGCATACTCTTGTGGGAAATTTCTAGTGGATGGCCACCTTTTCATAATGAACCACATGATGTTAGTTTGGCTATGGAAATTTTACAAGGTCTTAGAGAAAACCCTATTCCTAATACACCCGTAGATTACATAAAAATATACACTGGTAAGTACAATTAAATTAATTATATTAATAATGACATTATTGATTAATTATAAGCTTATTTATATCAGATTGCTGGAATAATGAACCAGATAATCGTCCAACTGTCAACCAGGTTATTGCAAAATTAAATGAAATTATTCCAAAAGAAAATGTTACATTATCAAGTGAAAAGAAGAGTAATGATAAAGTTTCCAAAAATATTATTGATAATTTATTATATGGAGAAATGTCTCAAGTCATTGAAAATTTTAATAAAATGCGTATAGAAGAAATAGAACCTTCAATGTCATCAAATAATAACTTTGACATAATAGTTAATGAAATAATACTTCTTCTTGAAAATACAGAAATTGTAAGGAAAAAACATGAAGTCATTAATTATCTTAATAACCATAATATAACTTCACAAGAATTTTATGCTTGGTTATTAAATAATCAAAATGATTCAAATTCTATCTTTTTACTGGGAGTATTTAATCATTTTGGAATTGAAGTCAATGTTGACAAACAAAAAGCATTTGAATTATATCAAAATGCGGTAAACTCTGGAAATGTATTTGGAATAACTAGTTTAGGATATTGTTATGATGAAGGAATTGGAATCAGTGTTGACCAGCAAAAGGCATTTGAACTATATCAAGAAGCTGCAAATTTAGGAAATCCACGTGGAATATTTAATTTAGGATATTGTTATCAATATGGAACTGGAACTTATATTGACGAACAAAAGGCATTTGAATTATATCAAATGGCTGCAAATTTAGGAATTTTATCTGGAATATGTAATTTAGGATATTGTTATGATAATGGAATTGGAACTAATATTAATATACAAAAGGCATTCGAATTATATCAAAAGGCTGCAAACTTAGGTAATAGTGATGCTCAATATAATCTTGCTTTAATGTATGAAACTGGAGAAGGAATTAAAAAGGATATAAATCAAGCAATTTATTGGTATAAAAAATCTGTTAAGCAAGGAGATCAAGATGCCCAAGACAAATTAAATGAATTAAAGGAGTATAAATAGAAGTTCTTTGCATAATTTATTAACTTTATTTATAAATTCTGTTATGTATTACTTTTTTTTTAATTATATTAGTGTGAGATAAAAGTGCCAAAATTCAAAAAAATTCATGGTACTCCAAACCTAAGATTTCAAAACTATAAATCTGAAACTCATATATCTTGAAATACCATAATTCTTGTATTTGATGATTGTGAAATACATAAATCTATTCCCGAAAATTTTAATATTTCACTAAATTTTTTATATTGTATATTTTTTTCCTTAATTTATTGTATTAATTGTAATATTTATTAATTTTAAACTTTATAATTAATTAAGCAAAGTAAAGTTATAACAATATTATTGTGGGTTTTGGAAAATAAAACAGACTTAACTATATATGAAAAAATGTCAACCTAAATATATAAGATAATTGCTCTGACATACTAGAAATATTAGGTAAAAATTTTTTCAAGTTACATTAATTATAAAAAAATTTTATTTTAATATTGAATACTTATAAAATTGTCAATTTTTATACTTTGTCTTTGTGATGTTTTCTTATTAAACCATATTCAGTTATTACTTTTTTTCAATAAATCAGAATCAAATTGTTTGTTGCATAAACTTTCATTTCTACCACTGATCTCTGATACTATTCAATGTAAGTATTAATAATCAGACCATATATATTGAATAAATATAAAATATAATGTAAGTAATTATTAAAAAAAACCAAATAGTATATTGTGACACTTTTGCATTTTTTACCCTTTATGAATGAGATATCATTAAAGTAAATATATTATATATATAAGATTAGCCAAATTTAGGCCAAAAATACGCAAACTAATTTTTTACATATAAAAATTTTGATAAAAAATACGCAATCTTGATGACCTAAAAAAATTCTAAAATTGTATGCAAATCAGAACTTTACTCCGCCCAATTCCACTATGATGGCGACGCATCTGTGTACCCTACCCCTGTATATATATTTCTGGGTCCTGTTTCGGCTCGCTTCCAAAATTTTCAAATATTGTATATATATGTGTCGTGCCTTACATGCATCAGAATATGATTGATACCTGTAGCGCACCACTTGTCACACAAAATTAAGTTATAATTAGTATACATTAGACTTTATAAATTTTTTATCACATCAACAAATATCTAATCTAAAATATATACAAATGAAAAAAAACAAATTATTCTTATTCCGTTGATGTATATTAATTTAATAATTATTATGGGGTAAAATTTTTCAGAAATTTAAATCAAAAACTACAATTGTTGGCAGCTGTTACTATAAACAAAACAAACTCTATAGCTCAAATATACTAAAATTTATTGCTCACCAATTTATTTAGATTAATTATTAATTATTTATTGGCCGATTTAGCACCTAGTATCTAATAAGTCTATTATATTTCTGCCCTAATCACCGATTATTGTTTGATAAAATGATAAACTTTATTTGACTAGCTTTCTATAAGCTTTTTTCTTTTTATATACTATACTGTGCATGTTATTAGGTGATGGCCAGAAATGACGTCATTTCAAGGGTCAAAAGTCCTAAAATTTAAATTACGTCATTTCTGGCCATTCAGTCCCTTATAATTAATAATAATATCGATCAGTAAAGAAAAATAATGCTAATATAAGTCTAAATTGATATTTTGCTGAACGATAGTATATAAATAATTGAGTATTACATATAATTTTACATAAATGTGCAAAAGTATAGAAACTAGAGGTTGACCTGTCCTATTGAAAGAAAAAATAACAAAATAAATAAAAAATCCTGCCAAAAAAATATAGAATCATCAGTAACATTTTATTTGTTTATTATTTATAGTGACTTTATAGTACATATACGCAGTACACTCTTTCCTTCTCTCTTTTCCCTTCTTTTTTTATGATATTGATAATTGTTGAAAATAATCACAAAGTAGTTAGTAATTGATATTTTATAATGTTGATAATTATCGAAAATAATCATAGGATTTATTAATGACACCCTATAATAATTAATTGTCTGTAAAATGTAATAGTAAATAATTGATAAATTACGGTTATATTGTATTTTAAATGTTAAATAACGGAAAAATGAGCCCATCCGTTTTATGTTTTAAATCTAGTAAATATAAATTATTTGTTTATTAAATGTACTATTCTCACTAATATGTATATAATACATTCTATTAGTTATTCATCTGTATAATCTACATCCTTACATATCACGTAATAAGTAGTTTTAATCTGAGAAAACCCTACACAATGGTCTATAGCAAATGCATCAATGAATTCATGCGCTCCAGATTTTTGAAATGAGATAAGACCTGCATTATCTTCTCTAACATCTGCAGTACAATGAATATATGCTAACAATAAGTTACTTTGTCAAATCCATAAGCAAGATATAATATTCAACCTGTCCATAAAAAAAAATCAATAAATTAAATTATTTTTTTTTTAAAAAAAAATAAAGTTTTGAGTGTTGCTCGAAATGAAACTCACCTATCCAACATCCAAGAATCGGAGCAAACCCACAAAATAGAAAAAAAAATCAAATTATTATTTTTTAAGTTTTGAAGTATTGTTCAAAATGAAACTTACCTATCTGACGCCAAAGAACCAGAGCCAAAACCTACAAAGTAGGATAAATTAAATTATTTTTTTCAAAAAAAAAATAAAGTTTCGAAGTGTTATTCGAAATGAAACTCACCTATCCGACGCTCAAGAACCAGAGCCAAAACCTACAAAATAGAAAAAAGAAATTAATAAATTAACATTTTTTTTTTAAAAAAATAAAGATTCAAAGTGTTGTTCAAAATGAAACTCACCTATCTGATGAATAAATTAAATAATTTTTTTCAAAAAAAATAAAGTTTCAAAGTATTATTCAAAATGAAACTCACCTATCCAATGCCCAAGAAACGAAGCCGAAACCTACGAAATAGAAAAAAAAATTTAATAAATTATTTTTTTTAAATAAATAAAGTTTCGAAGTGTTATTCAAAACGAAACTCACCTATCCAATGCCCAAGAACCGGTACAAAATAAAAGAAGAAAAAAAAAATAAAATTATTTTTAATAAATAAGTTTCGAGCAAAATATTTGAAACTCGCCTATCCAAAGCCCAAGAACCAAAGCCGAAACCTATGAAATAGAAAAAAATTTTAATAAATTATTTTTATAAAAAAAAGATAAAGTTTTGAAGTGTTATTCGAAATGAAACTCACTTACCAGTGCCAAGAACTGGAGTTGAAACCTAAAAAAAAAAGAAAAATAAAAAATAAACTTTATTCTAAAACCTGTATCGAATTAAAGAAAAAAAAGTTTAAAAAAGATTATCACATATAAATATGCTCAACCGACTTCGGAAATGATATTCGTAAAGTCATGTGTCAAAATTTTTGTCGAAGAACAAACTTTGGCTGAAATTTAACTAAAAGTCATATGACCAAAACTTTTGATTTTGACTAGTGCAATAGAAATAAAGAATCTATCGAAAAGCAGCAAATTGAAAAACAAAATAAATTGCCAAATAAATCTTCAAATTCGTAATCTTTTAAATGCGTAATAAATAATTGATTTATACTGTTAACATTGTTAACATTAGAAAATCGACACCGCAGCCAACATTTCATAGATCATCTCGTAGATAATAATTCAAGCAAACCTGGCAAAATGACAATATAAAAGGAAATAAAAGTCATAAATTTACAATAGGAATTTACTATATGTAAATCGACCTTATTATGTAATGATTGCATTTCGCATTATATTTAAACATGTTATTTGAACATCATTTGTATGTTAAGTTAGTGCTTGTTTATGTTTACAATACAACTTATAAATATATAATATTATATCAAATAAAATTATGTTCAAACTAGATGTAGCCTGTCGCGCTGCGCCGGGGATGAGAGTAATAATAAACACATTTTATATTTTTATTTGCCATGCAGTGTGAATAGGTTTAGTTTTTTACTATTATTATGATGGTATTAGTAGGAATAAATATAATAAATTACACAATTTATATAATTATTTAAATAACAATGAATTGTGTGCAAGTGTTATACAGTATATGAAATATTATTATTAAATGCAAATTTTATTTAATATGAAACAAATGTTGCAGTATACATTTACAAAGATAATTTTGTATAAGTAGTTTATTGTTACATTGTCACAAAAATCTTTTTTTTTATCTTAAAAAATTTCATTGTAGCATTAAAAAAAATTACATCTGCTAAAAAAAATACATAAATATTGTTATTATATCTCAAGAAATTCATTATAGCAATCTATTGTTATAGAAAAAAAATTATCTCACTAATTAATATGAAAAAAAATTCTGAAAAACTTCTATTGTCATGAAATAAAGAATTTCTCAGAAATATTAATTATAATGATCGATTGTTACAAAAATAAATAAATAAGTACGGTAATCATGTTAGTCAATTATTGAGCTTGATACAGCCTAAAAAATATTGTTTTTATTAATAATAAGAATCGGGAATTGTAAAAAAGTTTTTGTTGTAAAATTAGCTTAATTATAAAAAAAGGTAATTACCATGACGCTGCAGCATTGATCCAAACCTAAATGATGAAAGAATGTATTTAGGAAAAAAAATTCAGTTTGAAAAGCCAAACTGAAAAAGGAAAAGAGGAAAAAAATTCAGATTGGAGAAAAAGCCAACCAGAAAAAATAAAAAAAAAATAAAAAAAATTATGAAAAATAAAAATGAAAAAAAATTTTGAAAAAGAAATTTTTAATTTAATGAGATATTAATATTATGCCATAATAAATGATTATAATGTCATTAATATTATATAATTAATAATTTTAATTAATAATTTCAAATTTGTAAGCCTTCCATATGAAATTTATAAAGTATTTCTTTCAATTTTTCATGTATTTAATTTTATAAAGAAAAACATGGATGTAATTGACATTTCTGAAAATAATAAAAATAATATTAATGCTAGTTATAAAATTTTTGTGTTAATATTAATATTAATGTGATATTAGAGTTTGGAACTGGTTGTATTTTTGGAAACCGGATTTAAAACAGTTCGACCCTTTTCAAATCGGTTTTTACAAACCTGGTTGAAACCGATTTTTGTATCCAGTTTTATATTTGTTTAATTATAATAAATAAATAATAAAGTAATAGTTAGCCGCATCTGAAGTCACATTCCTGGTTTTCAATTATTAACAGTTAACTTATGGAATTCTACTATGATCTACATCCTGAATTAGAGTTTCCATTTTTGCATCCGGCTTACACTGATTTCAAAATGTACGGGACACGTGACAATTTACAAAATTCTATTTGCCGACAACCCGCATGAATTTGTCAAGTGTACAGTACACTGTAATTTTGGCCAGAATTACAAAACTTGTGTAACACAATTCCAGAATTTATTTCTATAACTGATAAAAATCCCGGTGGCTAAACTATTTACCCAGTATCACGTGATTTATAATTTCATAATTCAGGCCAGCACTATAAAGTTTTGATATCACACCGGGTTGAGCACTCGCTTTAAATGCAAACCGGTTTTTGCAGCATGAATCTGGATTGAACCAAATCGTAAAAAAAATGGGTGGAACCGGTTTAAAAACCGGATGGTGCATCCGGTTCCAAACTCTATGTGATATTTTATAATAATATTAAAATACTATTATAATTGTAATTATTAAATACAAGAACTGTAAATCAGTCACGTAAATTTAGTTCAGTTCAATTAATCAACATTACAGGACTCGGCACAATTAACTCAGTTTGATGGTAGTGAAGTCCAATCAGTTCGGGTATCTAACCCAATCTGTTGACCCATCAAAAAAATGTTTCTGCATTTTTTATATATGAGAAAAAATGCTAAACATTTTTTTTTTACAATTATTTTATGAAAAAGTACATTTTGGCACTTTTTATATCAGGTCGGGTCAGATACCTGACCTGACTTGTTGATTTTTTAAAAAAAAACATTTTTTTTCTTTTAATAAAAAAATGTTAGAACTGACATTTTTAAAATAAAGAAGCATTTTTTTATTTTTTTTAATTAAAAAATGTCAGGTTCACCTATCTCTTGCACAAACGTGGAAATGGTTTTTCCTCCATCTACTTGAACATCCCAGCCAGGTTCACCACTTCTTTCTCCATGCATTTTATCATTTGGAACCCAAACTCTTCCTTTTTTATCTGAATAACTTTTTTTGGGGGCTTTTGTCATTGGCTCTTTGCTTTTTACCATCCTAATCTCTCAGAGATTCATATTTTTCTTTCTATCCAGGTTCGTTTGTAGAAGTTTTTAACTCTTCTAAGGGAAATTAAATAGTTTTGGTATTATATCCCCATTTTCTAGGGTCATAGTATTCTTTGGCAGTAAGGCCATTTATCTAACAATCAAAAATAGTTTTTATTTCTCTTAAATGAAGATGAGAAGAACACCAAAGGGTATAAAAATCAGAAGTAGATTCAATTAAAATTGCAGTTTTTTCAATAGTCATTTCAATAGCCTTAACTCCCATGTAAGTAGTAGTAACTATGGCTCAACTAATTCAGTTAAAGTAATTAAAACTGGAAAAAACAAGCATGCTTTTTATTAAATCAGAAAAGACTAATTATTAAACTAAATGAAAGTGTTTATTTATATAAATCTTCTTTTTACCTAAAATTATATTATAATAGCCTAGTTTTAACTTCTTATTTGTTTTGATTCAATTGGAAAAATATTTTGCCTTTAATTTAGATTAGACTATTTAAGATAAATTTCAGTTGATCAGATCAATTTAACTCATTATTTTCAGATATTACTAGCAGTAGCCCGTTGCTTCGCATCGGGTTGTATAAATTGATTGATCGTCATTTTTGATCACACGTTTATCAAATTTAGATCTTTGCTAAAGAAAGTGACTAAATTAATTTTGATAAAAAAAAGGGTTACAGTATGTGATATATCAGTTATAACTTTAAATGTAAAATGTAAAATTTAAATGATTTCTGGAAGTCTTGGCAATTAATATATAATTTGACGCAGTTAAAATTTTTAATTTATAACGTGAGTGGTCATTTTAATTTTGGGAGAAAATTGCAAAGGTATAATTCCGGCCAGAATTATACAAATTTCCTTTTCCTGCACATTAGTAATTAGAATGAATTTGCCGATCAAGGGTCTTGCATAGATCAGGCGCAAACAAATCAATAGATCATATTAAATGTTACACAACATTAGTAGTAATTAATATTGTATGTCTATAAGAAAACGTAATAGATCAAGTGTAGAGGCGCAGATGAATAACACATTGCCACATTGGACAATTCAAAGATTATTTATATAGGCTAATCTAAACGTTAGTCACACAAACACAATTTTTTTAATTATATAGATTCTAAATATAGTTTTATTGTTTTTTCTTATCATTGAAATAAAACTAATTTTGGAAATAATGGAGTGTTTTTCTTATAAAAAAAGAATGAAAATCATTTTGTTTTCCTACCAGTTTGGTTCTATAAGATTATTTTTTTTAAGTTTGATAAGTCTTTTTTTTACGAATAAAGTTAATATAAATACTTTATTTTAATATGCCAACTTTTCTTTCTTTTTACTAATTCTTTCTTTTTTTAGTTTAACGCTTTTTTTTAACGATTTTAACGAATTTTAATGACAATATGGGTTTTTGGCGCGGAGTTGGAGAAGTATTAAAGTTCACTGGAAAGGTAGCAGTAGTAGGAACTGTAGGAGGATTGATAGTTTCTACTGGTGGATTAGCAGCACCTTTAATTGGTGGCGGAACATACTTCATTGGCAAAGGTATTAAAGAAATAGCTAAAGAAGAAGGAAGTGAATTTTGGGAAGGCACTGGCGACCTTATTGAGGATATAGGACTTGATGGTCTTACTGGCGGATTGTTCAACTTTGGAACTCAAACTGCTGGACATCTAGCCGCACGAGAAATTGCCAGAAATGGCCGAAAAATGACTAATGGCGCTAAGATTTTAATTAGGGTTGGTCAAACCATAAAAATAGGAAAGAGAGTGTATGAAGTTTGTGATAAAAATTTAGAGGATGTTAAATATGCTCTCTACTTTTATCATGGTCTTCATAAAGAAAAAGGAAATAGTTATGATAGTGATTGCCCTATTTGCCGTGAAATTGTCTAAAATATTTTTATGGCAGGTAATTGTTCATTTTTTCTATGTTTTAATTGATTTTTCTATCACTATTTCTCGCCATTTTTTCTTATTTTATGCTTAAAAAATATGGGAATTATAGGAAAAAATTTGGTCCTTATTTTCTTTCTTGTTTTTGAAAAGTTTTCTTTATTCTCTTATTATTTCAATTATCTCTTTTTCAGGGATAGTTTTATGTATTATCCAAATGATTTTTTCTTCTCTTTTTTAAGAGATTTAACAAGTTTTTTTAGAATTAGTTTTGACTAGTTCCTTTTTTTTTCTTGTTAGACTTTTTTCTTTTTTTAGTTAGTTTATTTTTTATGTTAATGTAAGATTTTTTGTCAGTAAAGTTATGAATAAAATTAAGATTTAAAAAAATAAAAATTAAATTCTGTTGTTTTTCATATTTAAATTTAAGAAACAATTTTTTTTTGTTTCTTTTAATAAAAAACATTAGGTTCGATGTTTTTTAATTAAAGGAACAATTTTTTTGTTTCTTTTAATGAAGAAATGTCGAACCTGACATTTTTTAATTAAAGAAATGATTTTTTTGTTTCTTTTAATGAAGAAACACCAAACCTGATGTTTTTTAATAAAGAAATATTTTTTTTGTTTCTTTTAATAATAAAAAATGTCAGGTTTGATGTTTTTTGATTAAAGAAATAATTTTTTTGTTTCTTTTAATGAAGAAACATCGAACTCAACATTTTTTAATTTAAGAAACAATTTTTTTGTTTCTTTTAATGAACCTGACATTTTTAATTAAAGAAACATTTCTTTTGTTTCTTTTAATGAAAAATGCTAAACCTGATATTTTTTAATTAAAGAAATGTTTTTTATTTCTTTTAATGAAAAAATGTCAAACCTGACATTTTTTTAATTAAAAAAACATTTTTTTTTTGTTTTTTTTAATAAAAAATGCCAGGTTTGACATTTTTTTAATAAAAAACTTTTTATTGTTTATTTAATGAAAAAATGTCAAATTCAACATTTTTAACTAAAAAAACTTTTTTTTTGTTTCTTTAATTGAACCTGACATTTTTAATAAAAAAAGATGTTTTTGTTATTATTTATAATGAAAAAACATTGGGTTCAGGTCAGTTTGACATTTTTTTATATATATAAAATGCTGAACCATCTTATTTTTGACCAAAATATATCAGTTCAATGGGTCAGGTTGGGTGACTGTGACTGACCTGATCTGAGGTCAGGTTATTAAATTTGCTACCTGACTCAAATTTTTGGGTCAACCTGTTGGGTTATCGGATCCATCAGGTCAAATTTGGAGCTCTAAACAAATGAAACATTAGAAACATTTCTTTAAAGTCAGACAAATTAAAAACCTCTTTTTCTGATTGCTTTTAATAATCTGGCATGTACAAAAAACCTGGCATCCTTAAAAAAAATAATAATAAATGAAACATTAGAAACGTTTCTTTAAAGTTAAACAAATAAAAAAACCTCTTCTCTTCCTAATTTACCTTTAAAGTCCAGTATGTATAAAAAATCCAGAAACTCTAGAAAAAAAATAAGAAAAACATTTCTTTGAAGTCGATTAAAAGAAAAATATACTTACTAGCTGAAATCTAATAAAAAAACAAAAAAAATGAGATTATCAGGTAATCAAACTTTTTTACTTGTTTATTTTTGATGTAGCATGAAATTTCAATACACATTCTGTGTGGACCAATCAGAAATGATGCATGCAGACAACCAGAAATCGCCATGTGACACTAATTGTTATCAATCTTCATAAAATTATATAGTCCTTCACTACACTCTGGACAATAAGCTACTATATAATTCCAAACCAAAATGGTAGTTATCCTCCTGTTGTTTCATAGAAACTAGAGGGCTTGACCTATCCTATTGAAAAAAAAAATAAAAAAAATAACAAAATGAAATTAAAAAATCAAAAATCCTGCTAAAAAGCACAATTATTTTATTTAGTGATTAACTTTTGATCAGTACAGCCTGTTCGACCTGCCATAGTTTCATGTATTATTGAATTAAAAGAATTAGATCAAAAGGGGGAATCTTAACATGTTCTTAGGGTATACGCTACTTATCCTTTTCCCTTATCAGCCTCATACGCCTTAGCTTCATTAGCCTCAGCTCCATCATCAGTAACATTTTTATTTGTTTATTGTTTAAATATAGTACAATCTTTCCTTCTCTCTTTTCTCTTCTTTTTTTTTTGTGATATTGATAATTATCAAAAATAATCATAAGGTTTATATAATAATATGGTTTATTATCATAAATAATTACAGGAATTTCAAAGATATTAATGATATTTTATATTATCAAAAACAAACAGCATGAAATATTTTATATTCACATGTCATAATTCCTGATATAAAGATATAAAGATGATTTGGATCTCATGTGGCCTGCTAAAAAGTATATACCCAGTAAATAGTTATTGTATAAATTTATACCAAACGGGCTCATTGGCTCGAAATTAGCTCAAATTTATGCAAAAAACAATCCAAATTTAAGCTAATCTGGAGTCAATTATATATGGATGAGCCCATTTGGTACAAATTTATACAAAAACTATTTGCTGGGATATGGAAACCTTATGAAAGCGGCAATTCAGATCCAATATAATCCCAGTAAATAGTTTTTGTATAAATTTGTACCAAATGGGCTCATCCATATATAATTGGCTCTAGATTGGCTTAAATTTGAATTATTTTTTGCATAAATTTGATTTCGAGCCAATGAGCCCGTTTGGTATAAATTTATACAAAAACTATTTACTGGGAATGAACAAAACTTAATGTTAAAAAACAGAAAAAAATTTAACAAAATAAATAAATACTTTATAGTAAACATAAAAATAATATTCAGATATAACTTGTATGATGTCCAGACGATGTTTGCAGCTGAAAATATACTGTATTATAGTTTTATAATAAGTAATAATCATCAAGTGAGCATAAAAATAATAAATCTTTATTGTTATAGAATATTCCTAAATAAAATCAATAAATCTATATGTACCATATACTACATGAATAATAAAAGAAAAATAGAAGTAAAACTAACTTCAATATACAATCTAGTAATTTAACTCAAATTTCACATAAAAAGCAACTTCATCCAATATTATGTTCACTATCTTGACAAATTTCATTTATTTCTATAAAAAAAATAGATTAGATAAATTAGAAAAGAAATGATATTAGCAAAATTACAATTTACAAATAAATAACAACTTGCCTAATTCACTTAATTGAACATTGAAACTGCATATTATGTATTCATAGAATTTAATGTTAACAATAATGATAGTAATTATTACTTGGATTTGCTGAAGTTGATTGAGCAGTATCATAGCTAGCATCTATTAGAAAATAAAATAACATTAATAATGTAAAATGGATTATATGATAAAACAAAATTAAATTTAATCAGCTGAACTGAATTAAACAGATGATAAATCTGAAGAATTTACTGGCTTTGGAAGATTATTGAAATTTATAATTCTACTAGTATAAAATGCTTGTGGGTATGTTTGGAAGCTTTTGTATTTATTTTCATTTGAACTGGGTTTGAATTTTTCTTTCCAATTTTATTACATTCTTTTATTTGAAAATATATTTCACCATTTTGACTCTTGTCGCCATCTTCTCTAACATCTTTATTATCTTTAACATCTTCACTGTCTTTACCATCTTTAACATCTTCAACATCTTCATCAGCTTCACTACCTTCACCGGTCTTCACCATCTTCGCTATATTCACTATCTTCACTATCTTCCCCCTTCAATATCTTTAATTTCATTCTTCCATTTTGTTAATATCTGATACAATTCTTTAGTGGTTGTTCTATTTTCTATTTCAGCATACCAACATTTTATTATCAAATATGCAAGTAATTTTGGTACATCTTTAGAAATTGTTGGTCTAAATCCTTTACATATTTTAATAGCTAAAATCCATCATGAGGAATATCATTAATAAAAGGAAATTCTTCAGAAAGAAATTCGTTCATTATTATTCCAAATGAGTAAATATCTGCTGCTTTTGTATATTAGTTGGTATCCACGTAAAACTTCTGGTGCCATATATGGTAATACTCCATAAATTCCTTCTTCTTTAACAGATTGCTTTATATTTGCTGGTCGACACATTCCTAAATCACTTATAAATGGATAAGAGTTATCAAGTAATATATTGCCTGAATGAAAATCTTTGTGAACTTTTCCAGCATTATGAATATCTAAAGACCTCTTGCAATTTGTTGTGATTGACCAATTTTTGATTTAAAACTTACATAATTTTTATATTCATTAAATAATTTCTTGAATTTCCATTTTCACAATAACTTAAAACCATTATATATTCCATATGCTTGTTTTCTTTTTTCTAAATCTCCTATATAAACTATTCTTTCATCTACGTTTCCCGATTCAATAGTTGAATCAATAGTAGAAATTGTAACGTATCTCTTTTAATGACAAAAAATTATTAATATTTTCAACTACAAAAAGTCAATAAATAATTATAATTATTAGAAATATTAAATTGCTATTACCTGATACTTATCGAGTTGTGGATTACAAATTTACAATTTAATTTTAGTTATATAAATAAACTGAATAACCAAGTTACCCGAAATAAATTCCAGAATTATTATAGGTAAAAGAATAAAATTATGAATCAATAAATTGCGCAACATTTATATTATCATTTGTATTATTATTTGTACTATTAAGCAGCTGCTGATAAATCTAATCTGACATGATGGTTAAAGTGATGGAAATGATGGTTAATTATATAAGTCGTAATTTAGACAATGCTTTGCAAATTATTTTACGTACATCATATAAAAATTTTTTCTGTATTTTTTAAAAAATAAAAATAAACCTATTATACCAAAACCATTGCCAAATTATATATCAAAAATAAATTTAATAAATTTATTTTAATTAACGATAATCAAAGACGTTTGCTTATTTTTCACATAAGCTTTTTTTGTCTTTACGATAGGAAAAATAATTTTTAGATTAATAATAATATTATATGATTAGCTAAATGAACAATAAAATATGGTAAATGAAAGAAATGAAAGGTACTTCATAATATCCGTATGGAAAGGTTATTATTATGAAGGTGACAACATTGAAGAATAGAAAATTTTATTGAATATACGTGAATTAATAATAAACTTAAAAAGGTTATTATGCAATTTTAATTTGGTAAATTTAAAACAAAAAGAAAGATAGATGTATTTTTTTGAATTTGAGACCATGACAATCGTATCTTCCATATTACCATTGCACTAATCTTACTAATCTTTGGCGTAATAAAATTAAGAACGAATAAAGTGTAAAAATTTTGCTCAAATAATAAATGGCTCTTGTATTAACAAATTCATTTCTATAATTAAAATATCAACAAATGTTTTTTTAAAAAACAATATTAACTGAATTAAATATTATCTGGAATATTTCATTTTAGTGAAAAATTACTTATGGGACCCGTTAATTTTATTATATTCATATATATTCCATACATCATCATTAATTTGTAATCTTCTTTTATATGCTTAAAAGTTCAATCGGAAGACAAATTAAGGAGTTAAAAACTAACATTTGAATCCAATAATAAGAAAGGAATAGTAAGATGCACATTGATCATGAAAATCAATTAGGCGAAATAATAATTTTTAATCAATATATTAAATTCCACGAATTTTTTGCTATAGTTCCTTATGTATTATGTATTTCAAGTTTCATCAAGATAAATAAAAGCACTATAAAGCAAAGAGTCAAAGACTATACTTTTATTTGTTGTGAAAATGAATTCTTTATTAAGAAGTTATAAAAGTATTTTAAAAATATTTTTACCAACTATTATTTATAATATTATTATTAAAATATTTTCAATTACTAGATTAAATTAATGTACTATTACCCGAAAATACTCGTTCAATTATTTATTTTTTTACTTTGCATAAAAATCTTTTACCTCACATGATTTTTTAGTAATATAATGTAGATTGTAGAATATAATGTAATAATTGGAAAAGTAATCTACAAATTATACAAATTATTTTGGGAGTTGATAGTTTAATAGACTAATTGTCACCCAGTATTTATAAATGTATTACACGTGAAATCTGATTTTAAATGAACGTGACAAAGGACTTAGTTGCTTAAGTACGTTAAGATAGAATTTTTATTAAATTCTCGGATCAAATTTATAATAGAACATTTCCGTTTTTGTCCTTTATTGAAAATGCCACCTGTAAATACTGTTTAAGGTAGAATGATACAAACTATGCTATTGTTGTTTTATAAAAAAAAGAAAGTTATAATCAATTTCGTAACGGAGATGGTAAATGTGTGGAAGCCGAGGCTTCAGTTTCAATATTCTATGTATCAGAAGGGTGATTAGTGTTCGTTGGATTACGTTTCTTCTTGGGTATTTCATCATCCGACGAAGGAGGTATACGTTCGTTTGATGAAGACGTCACGACGTCACGTTGATTAAGAAATCACGTGCTTAGGCATTGAGGTTAAATTTGAAACGGCTTGTGATGAGGCTAATATATCATCAACCTGTCTGACACTTTAAGTTTCTATTTTACTTCTCGTTCTTGATGATGAATTTCTCTGAGTTGGCACGATATTGTGCACGTTCTCCTTCCTTGAGAAGATTTTGTTCTGCTTTTTGTAAGGTACTATGCGTAGAAAGTATTTTGCAACCACGCTTTTCAGAAAAATGAGAAAACGTATGTGAGGTATTTGCTAATTATATAGCTAATGTTAAGTTGCATGAGGGGCGATATTCTTTTGATGTGGCGATCTTCTTGTTGTACAATGTGAAACTTTCACGTATGTCATTAGTTGTGAACATCGTGGAAGTAATTGAGCGAAATTCAAAGGAAAGGTGATATAAAATTTTGTAGGTTTGTGTAGTCTAATTTTTATTTTTGAGACGTAGCTACCAAGGGTGATGTTGAAGTTGAATCCACAGTTTGAAACGAGGATAATGATTAGAAGAATAGTTACAGGCAGAGTGAGTCGTAGAAAAAAAAAATTCGTTCCTAAAATTTTGTATTAAATTATTTCGAGGCAAATTATAATATTGTGTAAAAAAGTGTTCCTTGAAGAAAATAGTTTGTTATTAATAAAAAAACTCTTTGAAAGACGGTTGTGTAAAAAATTTGTACCGAAAAATTTACGGAAAGAGTTTTTTTCTCTAATAAAAATATGTAAGGTCGCGATTGCTTCTATCTGACTTACGTCACTGTGACCTGACGAGAATCGACAAAAGGCAATACTAATAAGAAATTGTATGATTTTTTTTATTCTGAAAGATCATAAAAAATTTCATTTAACTAATTATTTCTTCAAATGATAAAAAAAAGAAAATTAAATAAATTTAGTCTATGCAAAATTATTGTCGGTAAGATGCAAGATTTGCAAGTTTCTCAAAAAATTGTAGCCAAAAATTGCAAATTCAAATTTTATAATTTTGGTATTAAAATTATACAAGTGCATGAAATTAATAATTGCATACTTAAAATTTAACATATTTAATTTTATTTACAATTCCATTTTTTGTTTTAAAATTTATTTTATTTTGTTTTTTTTAACTAGAAAAGTAGTATCAGAGAATATAAAAGTACATATCCAAAATCCAAAATGGAAAAGAAAAGATCTAAACTATGGATATAAAAAATTATTTTTTTATACTATCATCCACCCTTAGGTTGACTCATCCTTCGTAGATAGAAAAGCGGGGCTATGACGTTGTTATAAATCTATTTACAAATGATAAACAAGGAATTATGAAGAAAGAAAATTAACAGATAAGAAATGGAATCACGGACCACTGTGAAGAAAGCTATTTGATGTCCACCGGATCCAAAACTGATGCGCAAGAGGATTTGGTGGGTGATTGCGGAGAATAATCAATAAAATTTGTTGCGTTGTGATTCACGTGATTGATGTGAATGTCTAGTATTTGTAAAGTTTATAATAATTTGTGAAATCCGTTTTGAAAGGAGATGTTCAACTCCATTGACAGTAAAGTTTCCAAATTTCTTGAATAAAAAGAGCAATATAAAAATCCTAACGAGGTTCCGGGATGAGGTTGTGACATAATAAATAGATCGGGTGACATTCATTGATTGGAGGATATTAGTACGCAACCAACTGAAGACGGGATTACGTATAGCGGAATGTTTAATCAGAAGTATTAATTTGTCAGGTAGAATAGAAATCAAAAAATGTTTATGTGATTGTCACTAATGTGACGTAGTAAGAGATCATTAATGACCATATTTAGATTTGACAATGCGGGTTATAAATATGTTCTGTGATGAGAGCTGGATAATTTTTTCGTAAAATTGTCATCCGTAGGCAGAGTTTCGATAAGTGATTTGGTTTGGTAACTGATTAATTTGGATAATTTTTGAAAGGTAGGACGCGAGACGGGATTATAATTTATCCACTCCTTGGTCTTAGTTGATGTCATCTTTTTCATGAGCATGCTTAATAAATCAAGGTTTGAGTGTTGTATGAATTTATTGAGTTTTGCGTATATCGCGATCGAAAGAAATTGAATTGTTCCAAATGATATTGGTAGTAATAATCGAGGTGTTCCTTGCATTAATAATTAGAGCGTCTCAAGATATATAATAGGCCCAATTTGGCTTGCTCATCGACCGCTTCATTTAGACGGATTCTGGAGTGTGCTTTGACTTGTGTAAGGTAACTGTAGAGATTTAACAATATAAAAATAATCTTTTAAACAATAATTTTTAAATATCGTCTTGGAGACATTTGTGGGGAGCTGAAGGAATTAAACTGACTAATACAGCATTGTGAAATGGTGAAATTTCGATCGTACTGTGTTTTGGACAATTTGCTAGCGCAGTGCATATCGTTAAAGTCTCTGCTTTAGTTGATAAGGGGAAATATCTGGAGGAAGCGTTAAAGGTGAGAGTTGGATCGACGAATGTTCAATAATCCAGCTATAACCCATGAAAGTTGACCGAGATTCATTATTGTTGGCCATTGACCCGCTGTGAAAATTTAAATTTTGGTAAGTTGAGAAAGTGACAAGGAGATGTTCGCCATTATCGTGATGTTTTTTTTTATTAAAAATATTTCTAAAAAAAATCGATTTAGGGAAAGACATGATACTATGGGAGGCCATTCTGGAGAGGGATTTGTAAGTGTTATTGCGGATTAAATAATCATTGCATGCTACATCTATGTGTATGGTGCAAAAATTTGGTAATGAGTCAAATCCATTTTTTGCTTAATATTTTATTCTGTTGCTTTTTTCTAGTGATTACATGTTTGATGGCAGAATTAACAAAAACTAAAAAAATGATAATTTATTGCATTAATTGGATATTTTCTTTCTGAAATTTTTGTCTGAAGCGTAGCGTAGAACCATTTACTTCCAAGCATTTCAGATGCAATGTCGTTCTGTTCCGAATGCTTATCGACAAATTAGATTTTGTATTTAGTTTACGTTTTTATGTACATGTTACGTGATGTAAATAAATTGATTATGCTTCGGACCTGAACGGTTTACGCTCCCTAGTTTCATAAGGAATATATCTTTATTATAATAAACTTTTTATCTTCATTTTCATCTCGCTCAATAAATAAAAAAAATCATTAAAACATAATTATGCGACTATTTTATTTAAAAAAATATTTAATGATGAGAAATTTAATGGTGCAATAAATTTTTCTTTAAACACTTACACAATATATTAATATTACGCAATATTTATTTTCGAAAAGATATTTATACTAAAGAATTTTTTTAGTAAGTTCACGTGATCTCTGCATGATGCAATATGACAGTGCACGACTGCACGTACTGTCATGGGCAGATCACACAAAATTTTTTGTTTGTCCATGGTAGTACAGTCAAGTAGGTGATTGACTGTTGCGCCACATTATTGGCGTAACCTGTTTACCTGTCACACATTTCACACATTTCGGCGTGCTAACACATTCTGCACTACGTTACGATGAACTTAAAATCATTTAAATTTTAAGAAGTTCATAACTTTTTACCTTAAAAATTTACTTTTTTAATTTTTTTATAATTTTCTTTTTATTATTAAACTTTGAGTACAAACTGAATCAACGTTTTGTATCAATCATGTCTAATAGTACTGAATTTAATTCAAATGAGTGGATTGATTGGATTGAAGAAGCTATTGCAAAAAAGCACATTAAATATTACGATTACAAACATTTTAATAATATTCAAGAAATTGGTTCTGGAGGTTTTGGAAAAGTATATCGTGCTAACTGGAAAAGTTTGCGTAATCATTTAGCATTAAAATCTTTCTTTAATTTCAATAACATTACAGTTAAAGAAATTGTTAATGAAGTAATTATAACAATTATATGTTAACAGTTTATCTTTTTTTTTTTGTATTTATATCTTTAGTTATATATTATGTTTTTAACATAAAATTTTATTTTCAATATTAAGCTTAATCTTCAGCGCGAAGTAGATTTTCATGAAAACATTCTTCGTTTTTGTGGCATTACAACAGGTATAATATATAATTTGAATCGTTATTATATTTTTTTTTTTGGAAAAAATAATCAAAATAATTTTTCTTTTTTTTCTCAAAGCAAACCAAGATGATAATTCAAAAAAATATTTACTGGTTATGGAATATGCCGATAGTGGTACTCTCCGAAATTATTTAAGTGAACATTTTGATAGTCTCACTTGGAAAAATAAATTGGATCTAGCATTTCAATTAGCTAATGCCATATCATGCTTACATGATGAAGGTATTGTTCATCGTGATTTGGTAGGTTATTTACTTCAGTTATTTACATGTTAATAAATTATACTGTATAATTTTATACTAATTTAGTCATTGCATTTAATAATAGCACTCAAATAATATATTAGTTCATAAGAATACCATTAAATTAGCAGATTTTGGTTTGTCAAAAAGGATTGAAGAATCATCCAATATTCAACAAAATTTATTTGGAAGGATTGCTTATATTGATCCACAAGCATATAATAGAAAAAGGGATAGTAATAATAAAATACAAGTATATTCATTAAATAAAAAGAGTGACATCTACAGTATCGGCATACTCTTGTGGGAAATTTCTAGTGGTCGGCCACCTTTTCATAATGATCCACATCCATGTGATGTTGGTTTGGCTATGGAAATTGTACGAGGTCTTAGAGAAAATCCTATACTTAATACACCTGTAGATTACATAAAAATATACACTGGTAAGTACAATTAAACTAATTAGATTAATAATGACAATATTGATTAATTATAATCTTACTACGTATATCAGATTGCTGGAATTATGAACCAGATAATCGTCCAACTGTCAACCATGTTATTGCAAAATTAGATAAAATTATTCAAAAAGAAAATGTTCAATTATCAAGTGAACAGAAGAATAATGTTGAAGTTCCCAAAAATATTATTGATAATTCATTACATGGAGAAATGTCCCAATTTATTGAAAATTTTAATAATATGAGTACAGAAGAAATAGAACCTTTAATCTCATCAAGTAATAACTTTAACATAATGGTTAATGAAATAATACTTCATCTTGAAAATACAGAAATGATAAGAAAAAAACATGAAGTCATTAATTATCTTAATAATCATAATAAAACTCCACAAGAATTTTATGCTTGGTTATTAAATAATCAAAATGATTCAAATTCTACCTTTTTACTTGGAGTATTTAATCATTTTGGAATTGAAGTCAATGTTGACGAACAAAAAGCATTTGAATTATATCAAAATGTGGCAAACTCTGGAAATGTATTTGGAATAACTAGTTTAGGATATTGTTATGTTATAGGAATTGGAATCAGTGTTGACCAGCAAAAGGCATTTGAACTATATCAAGAAGCTGCAAATTTAGGAAATCCACGTGGAATATTTAGTTTAGGATATTGTTATGATAATGGAATTGGAACTAATATTGATAAACAAAAATCATTTGAATTATATCAAAAGGCTGCAAATTTAGGAGATTCATCTGGAATATTTAGTTTAGGACATTGTTATGATAATGGAATTGGAACTAATATTGATAAACAAAAGGCATTTGAATTATATCAAAAGGCTGCAAATTTAGGAGATTCGTCTGGAATATTTAGGTTAGGATATTGTTATGATAATGGAATTGGAACTAATATTAATAAACAAAAGGCATTTGAATTATATCAAAAGGCTGCAAATTTAGGAAATTCAGGTGGAATATATAATTTAGGATGTTGTTATAAAAAAGGAATTGGAACTGATATTGATAAACAAAAAGCATTTGAATTATATCAAGAATCTGCAAATTTTGGTAATAGTTCAGCTCAATATAATCTTGCTTTAATGTATGAAAATGGAGAAGGGATTAAGAAGGATATAAATCAAGCAACTTATTGGTATAATAAGTCTGCTGAGCAAGGAGATCAAGGTGCCCAAAACAAATTAAATAAATTAAATAAACGCAAATGGAAAATTTTTGTATAATTTATTATTAACTTTATTTGGTACTATATTCTGTTATGAGTTACTTTTTTTAATTATATTAGTATGGGTTTGAAATATATAACGTGAAACAATAATTTAAATTAATTATGTAAAGTAAATATTTTCAAGTCACACTAATGATAAAAAAAAAACTAATTAATTAATCTTAGAATTGTCATTTTTTTATATTTAGCCTTATACTATGTGATGATTCATTTTTTTGTAAAATCCATATTCCAATATTACATTATTTTCATATACTTTGTGTGATTGTGGCAAATAGAAGTTATAATTTACACTTCCAAATTCTATTTCTTTTTTTACCACAAAATTGTTGCAAAAACTCTAAATAATATTTTAAAATATGGCATAAATTGGGGTTGGTTTTTTAATATCATACTCAATGAAAAGCATATTAAATAATGATCAGGCCATATATCATTTACGAATGAGAAATATGAATCTATTAAAATTCAAAATTATCATATATAATATATTCCGATGATTGATAATATTAATGATATCCAAACTCTCACATTAGTTAATCTAGTTTGGTATTATACTTACGAAATGTTCTGTAAGAATAAAGTAAATACAAAAACTGAATAGGACAACCAAGACAGCAAACAATTATTTTAATAGAAGAACTTACAATGTTGATGAATTGATAAGAAATTTATTTATTAAAAAATTTTATTATTTAGGTCATTAATTAAATTTAAAAAATACGGCAATTTCTAAAGATCAGTTATATTAGTTAAGAAGTAAGTATTTTATTAATGACTTCAAAAAAATTTTTGCTATGACACCTTTAAATAACACCCTTAAATACTATAAAATTTTGCGAGACTTCAAAAAAAAAAAAAAAATGTGAAACATGCATCTTTGTTTAATGTAATAGTATGTTACTATGCTTACAGGATTTTTTTTATTTTATTTGTTTTTTTTCTTAAAATTACTTATTGCTATTACACTACCATAATATTCGTGCTGAAAACTTTTTTTCTATGTGTAGGTTTTTTAAAAACCAATAAAATAAAAAAAATTTTAAAAATTAAAAAAAAAAAATTACAGCAGTACAGTAAAGTACTGTATATACTTTAAAATTATTTTCCATGAAGAATTTTCTTTTTTTTTCTTAATTTTCTCAAATTTATCTAATTGAAATTGAGCAATTAGATTACCTTGTTCAGCAGATTTTTCATACCAATATATTGCTTGATTTATATTCTTTTTAACTCCTTTTCCTATTTCATACATAAAAGCAAGATTACATTGAGCTATTTTATGTCCCAAATTTGCTGACTCTTTAAACAATTGAAATGCATTTTTGAAATTAACTTTAGTTCCAATTCCATAATAATAACAATATCCCAACATTATAATTACACCTAAATATTCTCCATCAGCTGATTTTCTAAATAATTCAAATGCTTTTTGATAATCTTTATCAATTACATTTCCGTTTAAATACAAAAGACCAAGATTACGCATAGCTATTACATTCCCATTACGTGCGGCCTCTTCGTACCAATGAAAAGCTATTCTAAAATCTTTTTTAATATCTGTTTCTTTATCATAATATTGAATAATTTTTAATTGTCCCGTTGAATAATCTCTATTAATGAATTTTTCTAAATATTTAAATGCTAATTTTTCATCTTTTACAGTTCCAATACCAAATTCATAACATTTTCCAACATAATATTGTGCCAACAGATGATCTTGTTCGGATGCATTAATAAATAAACGAAATGCTTTCTCATCATTTTTAATAGTTTCAATTCCTAAATAACTAAAATATCCAAGTAAAAAAATAAAATTTGGATTATTTTGATTATTTAATATCTTTTTACGAATTTCTTCTACATTTATATCAAAATTATTAAGATAATCAAGAAAAAGGTAAGGTTGTTCTTTTCCTTCATTTGTTATTTCACATATTTTCATTAATATATCATTAACTATTTCACATAAATCTTCATCAACAGTTGAATTTGTTAATGTATGATTAATTAATGATTCTTCATTTAATGAAGTTGAATTTGCATTTGATATTTGGTAAGTTATATTATCAATATTTTCATTTCGTTGATAAACAATTGTTTTTAATCTTTTGACGACTTCATTCATAGGCGGTCGATTGTCTGGTTCGCCATCCCAACACTCTAAGTATATAATAAAATATATCAAAGTTGTATAATTTTATTAATGAATTTAGTCGTTGAAATAATTTAAATTTTATGATTATACTTACCAGTATAAAGTTTCTCATAATCAATAGAAGTATTGGGAATAATTTTTTCTCTAAGACCTTTTAAAATTCGAACGGCTAAATTGACATCAGATTCGTCTTCAAAAGGTGGTTTACCACTTAATATCTCCCATAAGAGTACACCAACACTGTAGACATCGCTTTTTTTATTTAATGAATATGATTCTATGTTAAATTTTTTTGGATCAATGTAAGGAATCATATTAAATGATTTTGTATGTGATTTCGATACTATATCAATTTCTTTTGATAAGCCAAAATCTGCCAACTTTATAGAATTTTGATGTACCAATATATTACAGGAATGCTATCATAAATATTCAGTAAATATATGTCAATTAAATTAAATTCACGAAAATACAGTAATTATTTACCAAGTCACTATGCACAATATCATCATCATATAAAAATGATATAGCACAGGTAAGCTGATATGCCAGATTGCATTTATCATTCCAAGTGAGAACATCAAAGTTTTTTTTTAGATAGTAGTTTCGAAGATTACCCCCGTTGGCATACTCCATTACTAACAAATAATTGTTTGATTGATCAATTTCATTTTCTAACGAATAAAAGAAAAATGTATGTTAGCTCTTTTTACAAAAGTCAAATAATCTAACTAAATTAATTTTATCTTACCCGAATTAAGTATTGTAATTCCATAAAAGCGAATAACGTTATGATGAACATTCACGTCTCTTTGACGTTTAAGCTAATATAAAATAAAACTTTGAATAAAAAATTGTGATTTGCGTGTTTGAACGAGCATAATAAAATATATATGTTGTGCGTCAGATGACGATTTGCGTCAGATCCTACATTATCGGCCCAATATTGCCTAATATTATAATGCCTTAAGTAGGTTGGCCAGCATTACTGGGCCAGCCATCATCTGCACGTTAGCTGTCAGCTGACGTAGATCGACACAACATATTAGATATAAATGAATACCTCATGAACGATCTTTTCTAGAGTGAATTCGTTAAAATTAAAAAAGGATTTTAACGCCAAATAATGTTGTGAATTTTTATAATTAGCACGAAATACTCTTCCGAAACTTCCGATACCAATTTCTTCAATATTATTAAAATTATCATATTCGTAATATTTAACAATTTTTTTTGATATGGCCTCCTCGACACAATATTTTGTACTTATAGTATTATTCATCTTGATGTTATTCGTTATTATATGTTTTTGTTAGAAAAAAAAAAAATTTAAAAAGACTTACAAAAATAAAATCCTTATTTATATAGAAATTTTTTTCAACAAAACGATTCAAATCGTCAGATCGGCACAAATTATTAATCGCTAAATTCACCGGTAAATTAAGTTTATAAGGAAATTAATATAATGCACTGCATTGTAAGAAGTATCAACAATTTATAATTAGAATGAATCAAAAAGCTTGAAGCGTTTCAAGTTAAAAAGCGAAATAAGCGCATATAATGGACTTTTAATTATTTCCTTTTTTGAAAATCAAGAACTAATTAAGAAAAAAAATTTTATCGTATAATCGGAGTTCGGCGCATTCACATGAGCATCACGCATGATTATCTCGATTATGAATGAATCAAAGATGAGGCTAATGATTATTTAACAATGAAACGAGTTGGTTGATCATCTAACCGTTTATGTTTGAACATGTCCAAAAAAGGTAAATCATATGCGCGGATCTTAACTCTAACCCCAATTTTTAAGACGTAACCCCAAATGACGGTCATGTTAAATTGGATATGGTAACACTACATCAAACCATTTTATTGGTCGATCTAATCTGTAACACAAATTTCATGCAAAAAAAAAAAATTCACGAAACTTTGTAAAATAATTACGCGGTTTAAAAAATTATTCCTAGCTTCTAATTTGCAAATGTCTGACACACAAGAAATTCATAATTACCCCTTTGACTCAATTATTAATTTTAAAAAATCAGGACATAGTTTTTCATATAAAATTATAAAAGAAGGAACGTATCCTAATAAATCTTTATTAGCGTACACTCTTCCTCCTAATAAATATCGAATCCCTGATGATTATATGGTAGAAACAACTTGGGGTAGAAGTAATAATCGATGTGTTGTTCAGTGTTTTATTAATTACATTGATAATAAACCAGTTTTTCAAATCTGGTTTGGAAAGTGTTTTGAACATGTAGTATCTTCAGTTAGAAGTGCGACGGATGTTACAAATTTATTTCATAAAGTTTGTACACTAAATTATTTTTTTTTAGTTTTTCTATTTTTTTCTATTTATAAATTAACTTTAAAATATTTATTTCAGGAATATACATCTTTAAAAAAAACAAAAACATCAGGAATTTATTTGTTTGGTCTTCATCTCAAAACATTAGAAATGGCAAGAGAAGGCAAGCGACGTGCACATATATTAAAACCAATTGACCAATGTGGAAATTCCACCCTTACAAAACGTGCTATGAGTATTGGAAAACATATATTAGCTGAATTCAACGAAAAAACACAGAAGCTATATAATTTGGAAGACGTACCAGCATTGGAAAGTATATGTTATTCTGTTAATAAAAAACATACTTTTAATATCAGTTACGAGAATGAAGATAAAACTAAAAAAAAACAAAAACTTGAATCAATAGTTAGAGCATTAGATGAAGGCAATATTCCAAGAGATTCTTATAGACGTCTATGTGCT